ATTTACATGTATTGAGTGGGTCAAAGAACAGACAGTGGAGATTACACTTGGGACACAGGGAGGCAAAATTAATTCTGGGGTGGGCAGAGATAAGTACAGTTCTTATTTCCAACTTCTTTTACCCCCTCTTCCCCATTATAAACTATTTCAGAGGGAACTCTCAATGTCTATGAGTGAAATTGGACACCATTTACAGAGACACCTGGATAAAAAAAAATTCTAGATTTTATAGAATTTGATGCGAGATGTCCTACGTTTGACGACTAAGATGTCATTTTGTTGTCGTTATTGGTAGGTTATTTAGCAATTGCATCAAATGGAAGGGTTTTGCAATGCACCAAGACTCATGACATGCAGGATTCTTGCCTCCTTTATGTTGCTGATGGATTTCACAACACTGGCAACTTCAATCAAATTAAACCAAGTGGCCTTGGCTGCTGTTTTAATTTTCTGGCAGTGGGCTGAACTTGAGGTTGAGAAAAATCCAATGCAAGCCAATATTACAAAATCAAACTGGAACCACTGGACTGTTTAGGCTGGATGAACATTCAGCTATGATGGCCAGCCATCTCTAGCAGGGAGACATCTTATAATGTCAGTTGTATACATTGTTAACAATATTAAGGATTAGATTTGTTTCATATTGGCATTTATTGATCCACTGATACCAAGTAGGGAAGGATGACGTATTTAACAGAAGATAGCCCTGGTCTTGATTAAACAGTCTTGGTTTACTACATAGTACTTAGTCGCCAGTTGCTTTCCATCTAAGATATATGATTGTCTTCTGTTTATCTTAAGTTGCATTTGAAGTTTAAGGTAATGTTGCCATAGTCCTATTGGACCATAGGGTTGCTCTGTCATTAAAAAGAGATACAACTGGTTGTGATTTAATCTGAGGCATCACCATGCCTCAGGTGAGCAGAGATTGAGGAGAGTCCATCATGGTAACTTCAGCCGGTGTGTGAATTTAACCCATGCTGTTGGTAAAGCACCATTCCAGCCAACTGAGCTAATCAACCTCCAAATTACGTATGGTTTCTACCTACATGCAGTGAACAACTTGGGAATGACACACCACACAACTCTGGCAAACACAGAGAACTGTCTATAATTCTGGTTAGTTTCTGCCAGGAACTGTTCTTTATATACTGATACGTAGAGCATTTTTGTAATATCAGTTCACCCTTCCAGATATTAATGACTATTTCAGGTGCTTACTGTAGATCTTGGGGCTGCTAGAACTAACTCCTTTATAATAAATTGCTACTGCTAGGAATTAAGTAATTCAAGCACCAGCAGTGCAGCAATACAAGTGTAATATTGTTGAGGCAAGATGGCTGCAGAGCAGGACGCTCCTGATGGAGCTCTTCTGCTCTGTCTGTTTATTTTCTCAGTTTCTCTTTTTCTCTCCCCTTAGCCCTGGAGGTGAATCCTAGAGCAGCAGCAGTGGCTCCTGGAGCAGTGTGTGGTTTGCGAGTCCTGGAACAGCGAGGACAGCAAGCCCCGGAACAGAGTGTGGGGAAGCAGCCCTGGAGAAGCGCACGGACAGCGAGTGGAGACCAGAGCAGGGAAGGCAGTCCTGGAACTTACCTTGGAGCAGTTGAGTGCCAGTACGGAGCAGACTAGATGCTTGGTGCAGAGCAGGAATGGCTGTGGCACTGGTGTCTGGCATGGGCGGTCAGACCACGTGTGGAGGCCCTGAGCTGTTGCAGTGTAATGATTATTTGAATTTTTTTTAACCCGACTGTAATGTCAATCCTTTAACGATGTCTTATTTCTAACTTTTTAAAAAAATCTTGTAAAGTAATGCAACTACTTTTTATTCCTCTTTTGTATCCAAGATTTCTACCTAGGTACTTGTACCTAAGATGGTGCTATAAGAGGCAGACATTGTAAAAGCTCTTCACTGTACTTCTACAATTGAGTACATGTGACAATAAAGGATATTCTATTCTAATATGAATTCAAACATAGCTTTTTGAGGGAGGTTTTAATTTGCATTGCAGCTTGGCCTTCATGTTTAATAATTACATATCAATAAGCACAAAAGTTCATTGACCTGACCATCGATGAAAATTCCCCAGGCAAGGAGGTGAATCTGCAGAACTCATTGTCACCGAAAAATGTCGAGGCCAAGGCATTTGAGTTACTTAAGACAGGGGATCAAAAATTACAGGGAGAAGTCAGGAGAATGCGGTTGAGAAACATGTCAGCCATGATTGAAAATGGTACAGCAGACTCAATGGGCTTAATGGCCTCATTTTGCTCCTTTATCTTATGGTCTTATAAGGGGAATCAGGATTGTTTGTGTGCAGGGAGCTTAATCCTCTGAAATCGATGTTGGGTTGGAATCTCAAAATCACCTGTCCTCCTCTGCAATTCTACAGGGTGGGATTGCAGGCAAACAGGGAGCTCCGTTGGATCTGTTGGGTAAGTAAAGTAGCTAAGAAGCGCAAGAACAGTATTAACTCTCAATTCTGCATTTCCTAGCCAAGGCAACCATTTTTTGACTAGTCTGAAATTCATCAGTCTCTGAAGCAAATGCAGAATAGGAGGAAATTGTTTCATGAAACTGAAGAGCTGGGAAAACTTTGATCAGTCACAAGCAAAAAATTTCAGCCACAGCCAGGAGAGAGGCTGCTATTCAAAAGCATTTCATCTGTCAGAATGCAATCACTACTTGACAGATGATGGCTAACTTCTTCAAAGGATTGGCCATGGCATTGTCATATTGTCGCCAGATTAGTAATCTGGATGCCCGGAGCTAATGCTTTTGAACGTGGATTCAGATCCTGTCATGGCAGCTGGTAAAATTAAAATCTAACTTAAGGAACAGTTACCATGAAACCACTGCCAATTTTTGTTTTAAATAAAGCCCATCTCGTTCACTAATATTCTTTTAGGAGAAGAGGGCAGAGCAACACTTCTGGAGATAATTGTGAGACATGAGTACAAGTGGACAAAAAGATGTACATTGGGCAAGTACATTGGTTGGTCAGGCAGGAATGTGAAGGGTGTACAGAGAGCGGGGGGAGGTTGAGTGAAGATGCAAGACAGGTTTTCCTGAGAAGCACTGTGTAGGAGAATGCAGTCACATTAAGAGTAAGAGGGTACCTGCAAGTGTTATTCCACTCACCTGCCATGCCTACTGTTTATTTGGCTTCTCCTTGTGCACTGACTCCAGCTTGGATGTACCATATTCCTAATGTTGACTTCCTTCTTCGATTTCCTCTACAACAGGATCTCCAGGCATAAGAGGAGATAGAGGAAGCAGGCTCTCCAGCTCTTCCCTACAGTCCTCCACTCACAAACGCCTCAAAAATCTGAGCACTGGTAATCCATGCCTTTGTAATCTATATAATAGTTCCTTTGACAGATTCAATGTGCCAACCCAACTGAACTCCCTTATTGATTGAGGAATTCAGCGGTGGGATGTTTACGCTGCCATTCAGGGAAAGAACCTGGACGGAGTTTCCTAATCAGTACCAAACCCACAGATCATCCTGCCGTCGCATCAGGGACTAAGTGCAGAAGATTCTGTCTATGATCTCTACTTTGCACTCCGCAGATCCTGCTATTCCTTGCTGAATGTCTCCAGCATTTTCTGTTTTCATTTCTGCCTCTAGAGGCATGCATTAAAGACTGATTTCCATTTCTCATCTGCATTTGTGCTGCTCACCATAATTAAAGAAGAATAAAGTGTCTAGAGGATTCTTAGTCACAGCAGTCTTCTTCAAATTACAGGGGCATCAGTCCTTGTAACTTGCTTTCTGCAGTTGTGGGCAATAGCTTGCAAGTTCATGGAAATCTCACAAAAATCTCTCACGTCAGCAGGTAACTTGAGGCAATTTGCAATGGACCAAACTAATTATTGAACAGTGCAAATATAACAAAGTGTGGAGCTGGAGGAACACAGCAGGCCACACAGCATCAGAGGAACAGGAAAGCTAACGTTTTGGGTCAGGACCCTTCTTCAGAAATTCTGCCTGGCCTGCTGTGTTCCTCCAGCTCTACACTTTGTTATCTCTGACTCCAGCATCTGCAGTTCTTGCTATCTAAATGAACAGGGCACGTGGATTTACTCCAAATCAGACTGTAACAGCCAATGATCGGAAGGAGGACTGGCACAAATGTTCCATCTTGATTTTCTTTCAAAGAATTGTAGTATTATGGACCAGTGCAAAGGCCTTTCAAATATATCAAGTCAACCCTAACTTTTATTTAAAGGCAAATATAAGGTGCTGTGTTCCAGATGTAATCTAATTGGTTACATTACTTGGCTTTAAGCAAAACACACTTTATTATTACTTTACCCTACAGTTAAAATACAAACAAAAGAAAGAAGAGTAGGTATGATTTTAACTCTATTGGAAAACTTAACAGAATAATAGATTACTTAATGACTAAACAGTAATATCTCATAAACACACCCTTGGCAAATGCAAATTCAGTAAATTAGATTGTCTCACATGCAGTTTTAGCTGACAGAGAGAACCTAAGCTTTTTAGCAGTAGCCAAGAGATGTAATTGCTGCCACAACCAACTTCACAACCACAACAACCACTGAAAGCTAAACTAAAACTCTGGTTCTGTGGAAATCTGTCACTACCCATTCATGCTGCTTCTACTGTTTTAACTTAACAAAAAATCCCTAAGGGCTCACAAGCTGTTTATTTTATTGGCTTAGAGGAGACAGTTCATCATCTATAGCTCAAAACCGCTCTTCAAAGAAAAAGGGCAAAATATTCCTCTTAAAGCTATAGTATCATCGCAGTAGGTAATTCCAAATGAGAAAAGGTCTGTTTGCTTAGTTCTACATTTAAAATAAAACTGCTTCACGAAAATCATTTGTTTGATTATTTATTGAAATGTTGCTAATAAGACACAGATTATTGCAATATGTTACCTAAGCAAAGCAAAATGCATTTAAGCAAATTATACTGATACTTATAGTAAATTAAAAGTTTCAAAATAAAAGAATCAATCTTGAGGTACAATAATGTAGTGATTTTAAAAAAAGTTAAATATAAAAACTCAAATAGCTATATTTGCCATAGGAGAATAAAATAAAATAAGAGCTAAAGTGTATACAAAAGTCTATCCAAAATAAAGATTCCAGTCCTTCTCCTTCTTAGAAAGCTATTTTCAGAATTATTTACACAGAAATAATTCCTAAACAAATGACCTGGCCTGCACAGGTATACCAAGATTTAATCATTCAGCTGGCAAAGCAAAGCAGCTCCTTTTGAGATCCAATAGTCACTGTCCCTTTTTGATGGCAATAGCACAGTCACAACAAAATTTGTAGAATGACCTGCAATCAGACAAATAGAAAAATATACCATGTTATATTGAGTTGCAATGACCGAAACTCGTTAGGTTATCCACAGAAGCATTTCAGCATTTACTCCCTTCACCACTGATGCAGTGGCAGTAATGTATGCCTCAATAAGATGCACTACATTGACTCACCATGAATCATTCAACATCACCTTCCAACTTTTACAGCCTATAAAGGACAAGGGCAAGAGCAAGAGATATATGGGAAAACCACAACTTGCAAGCTCCCCTCCAAACCACTCATCTGTTTCCTCCGCTGTGAAGATCAATGCAAAATATTGGTTTAAATTATCTGCCATTTCCCTGTTCCACATTATTAATTCCCTTGTTGTATTATTCAAGAGTCCCACGTTTTAGCTATTTTTTTACACCTGTAGAAGCTCTTGCTCCTTGTTCTTATATTTCCTGGCAATTTACCTTCATAACCAATTTTCTCCCTCTTTATTAGTTTTTTTAATCTTCTGCTGTGGTTATTATTTTAAAAAATCATAATTATCTGGGCCACCAGTAGTTTTCACTGCTTTGCTGTATTTTTTGATTGAATGCTTTCCTTGATCACTTTTGTTAAACAGGGGTGGTTCATGTTATCGAGTCTTGATATCATTGTTGCTTCTCTTTCAATGGGTCAAAATCCTGAAACTCCCTTTCTAAGACTACTGCAGGTGTTCCTACAGCAAATGGTTCAAGGCGGCAGCTCATCATCATCTTCTTGAGGGTGAGTAGGAATAGAAAATAAAAGCTGAGCAAGCCATTGATATGCACATGTAATAAATGTAGAGGATACTGTATTCCTGCCATTTCAAGGATATAATTTAATCTGGCAGTCAGGCATCATCAACCACAAAAGCCAAATATCTGTACTGCATTCAAATTGTCAACTCTAATTAGATTACATCTTTATTTCCATGAAGAAAAACATGAAAAATTGGGAACAAAAATCAGAATATTGCAGATGGTGGAGGTCTTGAAATAACAATGTCAACCACTGCACTCAGGAGATCACAGGAGCGTAACCTGCGACAACAGGGGGGCCTGGTTGATGTTCCAGATTGATAACCTCTCATCAAGTTTGTTGATGTGATGGGTGAACATTTTATAAAGAAATTCAGGGTCAGGAAAGGATTGTCTAGGAGAACAATAAATGTTCTGTGATTGAGTGGAGAGCTGTGTATAATTAAATGAGAAAAGTGATGATTGTGTATGACAGGGAGCAAGACAGAGAAAGATTAGAGAAAAACAAGATGTAGCCAATAACCAGAGTTGTCCTGAAGTGTGATATGGAGGTGTGTCTGTATGTGTGTGGGTATGTGTCTGTGTCTGCGTGGGTTTACTGCTGTGTGTGTGTTTGTGTCTGTATATAAGTGGGTGTGTGTCTGGGTGGGGGAAGAAGTGGGTTTGAAATGGGTAATAATGCAAATAGCGTAAAGTACCAGGAGCAAGTTATAAAATTGTCCTTCTTTCTCTTAAACACAGTCTCTCAAGACCAAGGATGATTTTCTTCGGCTCCAGAGTATTAGATCTCCCCCCACCACGCTGGAGATTATGTAACGTTCTAATCCTGGACCTGAACAAATGTCTGAAGAAATGTGGCCTGCTATAGATGTTGATCTGATTCAGTGTGGGACTGTACCCTCAGATGTTACTAAACAATGTTACTGAGAGGGAATGCTGACACTGACCAGGGAAATTGGAAAAGTATATTTCTAGACCAGTAACTATTGTTAACTACATAAGTGAGCAATCTTTCCTGTATAGTTCTTCAAAGATTTCCCATAATGTTCATGGCTTCCTTTATTTGAAGTCTTTGTTGCAAAGAAAAATCAGTTATCTCAAGCGTCTCCATTACTGACCAAATGAGTGCAGAAATGGCAATTTTCTCTTGGTGTTTGCAATGAAACAACTGGCTGGCTAACTGTGTTTTGTAATCAAAAGTGAAATGGATAGGTGTTTGCTGGGAATCGTCACAGGATGTGGCCTATCAGATAGAAATAATTCAAGGTGCAGTGAAGTACTCTAGCAGGGCCAAGTTAGTCTGAACAGATTTTTTTCTGAGTTGTACATTCTATATAACACTATCAGATGAACTTCAGGCCTTCAGTGTAACAAAAGGCCTCTCTGAGAAAATATTCAACAATTAACAACTGTATTCAAATTTTCCATTGAATAGCAATATGTTGCATTCATTTTTTTCTTACTGATGTCCTGTTACGCATGTGACTTATACCATAAGTAGAAAGAATTCAAGATGGAGGGTCAAACTAATCTCTCAACTTGTAATTTTTTGATTGATTGCTCTCTGGTTCTTAACATTTTGGGACTGGTAAATTTGAAAAAGCAATATGCTTGCTCAAACCTCTGCTATTTTACTGGTTCCACTCTAACAGTTTTCACTTAGCTGCTGTCCTTATTTTTGAGTGATACAGTAACTGCTTCTTCAATTGTGATGCATTGCTTTTTGGCACAAATTTCAAATCATAAATCAACAGTGGATTTGACACAGAAATTTGTATACTGTACATGCAATCCACAAATTCTGATGCCTAATATGCATACTGGGTGCAGTTTTACATACAGCAATAAGTATTGTGAAGAATGTGTTTTGATTTTGCTGCCCAAATCCTTACATTCAGCACCACGCTTGCACTAACTCCCAAGTACAACAATCAAAATTCAGAAAGCGTACTGTTTCAAGTCATTTCTGGATTAAAAACAAAATTTGTGTTAAGGAACAATGATTTTGAAGACATATAACAAAACAATTTCTTGAGTCATAGAGTCATACAACATTGAAACGGACCCTTCGGTCCAACCAGTCCATTCTCAACATAACCCCAAACTAAACTCCTCCCACTTGCCTGCTCCTGGCCCATATCCCTCCAAACTTTTCCTATTCACGTATCTATCCAAATGTCTTTTAAACATTGCAATTGCATCTGCATCCACCACTTGAACAAAAGTAAAAGAAAAACAAAGAAATCTAGCTCTAATTGATTTAGCTGTAAATACCAAACACAGCAAATTGTCTTCAGCACAATTGCCAAGTCATTAACATGCAGCAAAAGCCACCTTTCAATGGCCATTCATCAGGAATGTTCCAATTAGGCAAGGCACAACTAGATTTGCAGTAAAGAAGTTCACACTGTCACATCAGTATGGCATATTTTCCGTTTCCCTGAATAACCTATCCTGTTAGCTCTCCAAATGAGATTGCTAATTAAATTCCAGAATGGCCAGACGTTTTTATCCCAGAAGGAAAAACCAGAAAAAAATGTCATACTGTACTTAATGACTGTACTTAAACCTCCAGTTTGCTTCACAAGGTTTACTGTTACTCCTTTCTGGGATTCAACAATCCAAATGCATTGGCACTAAAAATCAGGTTGAAATTGTCCCAGAATAATGTCAATCAAAAGATATTTTGGATTGGATTTGAGAGGAAAAAAGATCTTTCTGCTGATCCACTCTGACATTCCATTCCAGAGAGATGAGGTTCAAGTAGACATACCCACGGACCAGGTTTTCAAAGTAAGGTCAGCAACTTAGATTAGTCCCAGCCCCTGTGCACTGCCTGCCAGGTACCAGTAGTGAAGGCAGGTGGGAGCCACATTGGTGGCTGCCACTGCCTTGCTGATAAGAGCAAGCAGCCCACCACAGGATCAGTAGAACCCAAGATGGAACCAAATAGCTGTGAACTCAAAGTAAAAGGTTTGGTGGTTATCTTGGTGTAAGTTGGTCCATGAAGCTTCAGATCGCTACAAAATAAAAATAAACTTTGCGATGCCCACTAAGATGCATCGGACTGCTAAGTTCAGTGTTAATAATTTCGCTGGACCCTTTTGTACCTCCTGAACAAGCTTAATGGGCCCTTAATTGGCACAAAGCAGATTTTTAATTCTCTCCCTTCTGCCAGCCCTTCAAAAACTTCAAACTGTTCTATATACGACAGGCTCCCAAGACAACTCCTAGGGCTATGATTCTGAAGTCAGACCTAGGCCTGTATCCAACATCACAGCCATTGAAAATCCAACTTGCTGGACGAGAATTCTGTTCACATACCACTGCTTCTAGCGATGTAACACAGAATTGACTCACAAGGGAGTGGGCAGGCAGCACTTGCTAACTGTTACCTGTGCAGCCGGCATGGCATTTCTCATTAGCATTGCATGCAAGTGAATTTCTTCCCTCATCATGGAGGTAATTTGAGTATAATACCTGTGGTTGACAGGGTTCCTGCTCGGGCCCCAGTTTTGTAGAGCGGTGCGTGATACAGTGATGAAATTGGTTCGTAATTCTGTGCAGGCTCAAAGTGCACAACTGGTAAAACAGCATGCATCACTTTGGGAAAGGCATCTTCCAGCACCATTTTTTTATCATCCCAGCGGCAAGCATCCATAAACATTCCATGGACCAGTACACCATCTTTAGGGGAAGGTAACTTGTGGAAAAGAGAAAACAAAGATGCATATAAATAAAATATTAAAGTTAATATTGCGTGAAATCAAACTATATAATAGATGTAATTTTGATTTCTTTTTGACACAGAATTGAAGATTCCTTAGAAAAAGGTGCCAAAGCTTTTCAAAATTCAATGGAAAGACAAAATTTTATTTTTATGATGCAAAGTATCATTCTGATAGAGGCTCAGTTTTGTCACAGATATGATATCTAAATTAATATTTTGATGATTCTAAAATTGACGTCAAGTAATGAAGTCTGAAGGAAAAATTCTTCATTTTTGACGGAGAGTAGGTTTCTCGGATACGAATCCATTCCGGTATTCACAATATATGTGCTGAATACGAAGACAATGTGTAAGCTGTGGGGTGGAAAGCCAGAATGCTAACAAATGGCATTGTGAAACAGAAGGCAGACAAAGTGGGGGAACAGCAGAATAAAAATGTCATAACCGAGGTGATTGCATTCATTAATGGGATAGACAATATTGTTGATAGGGCACTTCAGGAATGGTAGGATAAGCTCACATAAAACTGTTTAGACTGAATAGCCTGGTTTGGTATGGTGTACACTCTGTAATATTGTAATATTTATCAGAATTTAAGAGAAAATGTGGAACTTCCTATCAGCAACCAGAAGATCCCGAAACACATTGCTCTGAAATGCCACTGCAGACACTACAGTCTATCAGATTCTCCTGATTTTCAATCCCTTTTCATTTTAATACCCTGGGACAATAATGCCAAGGCCATCACAAATTGGTCAGCTCCTATATAGCTGGTTGTGGGAATAGAGTACTTTTTAATATTACTGTACGAATATTCCAGAAAAAAAAGGTAGGTGCGCAGGAATCAAAGGGAAGACTGTTTTTTTACACAGGAAAATGCAGTGAAACCTAGTACACTTTCAGTAAAGTTAGAAATAATATCTGGGAATATGTACTATTCACATTTACACTACATTTTCTTGTGGATATATAAATATATAAGATTTTTAACTATGGTATTTTATGTAATTAATGGTTGCGTGTAAATGTACATTATTGGAATCTAACAGATTTGGTCTTTGAAATAGAAGAGGTCACCTATTGACTGGTTTATTTTTGGCTGTGAGAAGGAGTGCTTTTGAGAGTTTCTTAATTAGCAAGTAAAAATAATTTTTCGAAGAGATAATTGGAGATGCATTTACTTACAAAAAGTGATCCACAACTGGAACCAATTTCCACAGTCATAAAGTCATACAGCATAGAAACAGATTCCTTAGTCCAACTCATCAGTGCTAACCAGACATCCCAATCTGACGTAATCCCATTTTCCAGCATTTAGCCCATATCCCTCCAAACCCTTCCGGTTCAAATACCCATCCAGATGCCTTTTAAATGTTGTAAATTTACCCACCGCCACCACTTCCTCAGGCAGCTTGTACCATACACATACCACCCTCAGGTTTTAAAAAAAAGTAAAACCTTGCATTTATTTTGCCCCTTCCTTTCTCCACTCTCTCTGCCAACTTCCCAATCTTCTGAGATATCTGCCCTCTGTTTATTCTGGCCTCTTGAACATTTCTGATTTAAATTGTTGCATCATTGCTGGCCATGCTTTCAGTTACGCCTCAAGCTCTAGAATTATCTATCTAGACCACTGTATTTCGCTTTCCTCCTTTAAGACACTTCAAAATTTACCTCCCTGACCAGATTTTTGCTCACCTGACCTAATATCTCTTTATGGGTCTTGGTGCAATATCCTGTTTTGTAATATTCCTGTGAGCTGCCTTGGACGATTTTTAGTATATCAAAGGTGCTAGATCATTATGAGTTATTACATCATATGTATCATTGGCCTTGGAACAGCAATAGGGTTAGGCAGTTCCAAAGAAGGGTCACTGGACTTGAAAAACTATGTTTTCTCTCCACAGATGCTGCCAGACATGCTGTATTTCTCCAGGAATTTCTGTTTTTGTTTCAGTTGAGATGCTTGTTTGAAATTTGAAACAAGTAGAAAATTCCTTATTAATTAATTATGTTAATTATTAATTATGTTTTTCACTGACATGCATTTTACTACTTTACAACCACTTATGGAAATAAGGTTGCAACCCTCCAGAATTGGCTGTAGTCATCAGGAACTGAAGGTCCATCTCGTAGGCACTGCTGTGTACAACACTGGTGAAAATTCATAGGAATACTAAAGAAGATAGTTTACTTTGAACACTTCTCTGTACCAGATATAAAAATATTGAAAATGGGGAAGGTTTGTTTGGCTGACAGTCAAGCATCAACCAATTAGAAAATTATATTTTAGCACCCTGACTGGCACCAGAAAATAGTGCATCACTGTTGGTGGATGTGTTGGCTGATTAATGGCTGGAGTGTGGAGGCAGATCACAAGGTGAGATCTTCAGAAATTGACTTAATCAAAATTGGCAACCCTGCATGGAATACTGGGTAAAGCTTCATTTCCCCATGGCATTTTGGTAGAAATTTACAAAGAAATTTGTTAATAAGTATATTTACGATTTGACCAAACTTGGTGTCCAGTGAAAGTTCTCCATCACTATTTAAAAACTATCTTTTAATTTTAAAATTAGCAGTCCTAAGAGGTAAACTAAATTGGCTTTTTGTTTTAAACAGGGCACAGACAGAAATATGGGTGAAGATATGACTTTATTTAAATCCTTTTCCATGGTATAGAACATTAACTGTTTAGTTTTCTTTGAGAACTTCCATAAATCTTCATTTAAAAAATCTCCGAAACCTCAGTGACCCTTCTTTGGAACTGCCTACCCTTATTGTTGCTCTGAGGCCAATGATACATGCGATAGAATAACTCATAACAATCTAGCACCTTTGATATACTAAAAATCGTCCAAGGCAGCTCACAGGAACATTATGAAACAAAATATAGCTCCAAGACCCATAAAGAGATATTAGGTCAGATGACCAAAAATCTGGTCAGGGAGATAAATTTTGAAGTGTCTTAAAGGAGGAAAGAGAGATAGAGTGGTCTAGGTAGATAATCTCTGATTAACCATTAAACCCTATTTAACACAAACCATATCAAGACTCGACCTTGTCTAAAAGGTAGTAATCCTGTGTTCTATTAATTCTACTTTTTTCATGATACTTGCCACTCCAAATTAATTGATTTTTTAAAGGAATACATTGATGTATCTTTATAATTCATACAGAAACTTAAACTTTCAAATAGTATAGTTACCAACAAGTGATGAAATAGCAATATTACATAGGTAATGTAGAGGAGCTGTGATTCTATTACTGGATTGATTGCATTGTACAACACTGGAACATTGTTTTATAGAAAGCTGAAATTACCAATTCATCCATTGGAAGCACCTCCCCAAATTTTATGGTTTTCATAGCTTCTGCTACTTCCATTGCATTCCGGTACACAGGAATAACATTATAACGAAAGCTAAGTTCATCAATTGGAAGGTTGTATTTCCTGGCATGGTTCTGAAGTGTGCCTGAAACAGAAAACAAAATACATTGTCGTAATTGGTGTGAGTTCCAATCTGGCAGATCTTCCCTTCCTAAAGCCAGCCTGCCAGCTATAAAGGAAAGTTGAGTTTTCATTTGTGGCGAGTGAATAAAACATTCACAAGGCATAAGGCAAAATGACAACCTCCAGCATATTTTAATTTTCTGAACATTTGCATGTTTGTTCATTCAAAGGTGATACACCTGCTGTACACAATGGCTAAAATAATGCCTGAAGAAATTTACTTGCAGCCTCTACATGAACATGTTGCAGTATTGGGTCATTTTTCAACTTTGCAGAACAGAATCATTTAAATGGTGAAAAACTACATAAAGCTGCAACACAAAGAGACTTGGAGGTACTTGCGCACTAAAAACAGGAAGCTGGCACACAGATGCAGCAGGTTATCAGGAAACATAATGGAATGTTGGCCTTTATTTCAAGGGTGTTAGAGTATAAAGTTGGGAAGTCTTACTGAAGCTGTACAAGGTGCTGGTGAGATTACACCTGGAGCGCTGTTAGCAGTTTTGGTCCCCTTCTTGAAGGAAGGAGATCATTTCATTGGAGGCAGTTCAAAGAAGGTTTAGTAAAATGACTCTTGGTGTAGAGGGGTTGTCTTATGATCAAAGACCAAACAAGTTGGGATTCTATTCACTGGAATTTAGAGGAATGAGAGATGCTCTCTTTGAAACACAAGGTGGCACGGTGGCTCAGTGGTTAGCACTGCTGCCTCAAAGCGCCAGGGATCCAGGTTTGATTCCAGCCTCATGCGATTGTCTGTGTGAAGTTTGCACATTCTCCCCATGTCTGCGTGGGTTTCCTCCAGGTACTCTGGTTTCCTCCCACAGTCCAAAGATGTGCAGGTTAGGTGGATTGGCCATGCTAAATTGCCTGTAGAGTCTAGAGTGTGTAGGTCAGGTGGATTAGCCATGGGAAATGTGGGGTGAATCTGGGTGGAATGCCCTTCGGAGACTCAGTGTGGACTTGTTGGGCCAAATGGACTGTTTCCACACTGTTGGGATTCTGATTCTGAAACATATAGGATTCTTAAGGGGCTTGACAGGATAAATGCTGAGAGGATGTTTCACCAGAGGGCATAGTCTCAGAATAAACTGTGCCAATTTAAGACTGAGGTAAGGAGGAATTTCTTCTCTTAGAGGGTTGAGAATTTTTGGAATTCCTTGCTACAGAGAGCAGTGGGGGTAGAGTCCTTGTGTTTTTTTAAGATAAGATGGATTGATTCTTGATCAGGAAAGGAAATCAAAGGTTAGCAGAAAGGGCAGGAGAATGGACATGAGGAACGTCAGATTATCCATGATCCTATTGACTGGCTGATCAGGGTCGGGGAGGCCGAGCGACCTACACATGTTCCTATTTCTTACGGTTTTATCCTTTCTCCATTTATCTCAGTATGTTTTGTCACTTTTGCAAATATGAAAACTTTACAATGACATCTAATCTACTCCTACTAAAGAGATTGGAAGTCAAGGAACTTGGAAGTGTGGTTATCTCTGAATTGTCCTTTGAAATAGCCTAGCAAGTCATTCAGTTGTACCAATCGCTACAAAGTCTCAAGGAAATGAAACCAGATGTGTTACCTGATGTTGACCTCGGCACCGGAAAAGAAACCAGCAGAAACAGCCTTGTTAAGGCTGCAAAATCCTCCTTACTAACATCTGGCGGCTACTGTCAAAATTTGGAAAGCTATCTCACAACCTATTCAATCAACAGCCTGACACAATAATACTCGTGGAATCACAGCTTACAGACAATGACCCAGCCACCACCATCACCATCCCTGGATATGTCCTTGCCCAACAGCAAGAGAAACCCATCAGAAGTGACGGCACAGTGGTATACAGTCGAGTTGCCCTGGAGTCTTCAACATTGACTCCAGACCTCATGAGGTCTTGTGGCTTCAGGTTAAACATGGGCAAGGAAACTTCCTGCTGATTACCATGTGCTGTCCTCTCTCAGCTGATGAATTGGTACACCTCCATATTGAACACCACTCAGAGGAAGCACTGACAATGGCAAGGGTACAAAATGTACTCTGGGTGGGAAATTTCAATATCCACCACCAATAATAGCTCGGCAGCAGTACTACTGATCGAGCTGGTTGGTTCGTAAAGGACATAGCTTCTCGACTTGGTCTGCAGCAGGTGATTAGGGAACCAACAAGAGGGAAAATCACACTTGACTTCATCATTCCCAATCTGCTGGCTAGAGATGCATCTGTCCACGACAGTATCGGTAAGAGTGACCACTACACAGTCCTTGTGGAGACGAAGTCCGACTTTCATATTGAGAATAACCTCCATTGTGTCATGTTGTGAGACACTATCATTGTGCTAAATTGGATAGACTTTGAACATATCTAGCAACTCAAGACTAGGCATCCATGAGGCGCTGTGAGCCATCAACAGCAGAATTGTACTCCAGCCCAATCTGTAACCTCATGGCCTGGCATATCCCCCACTCAACCATTACCATCAAACCAGAGGATCAACCTGAAGATGAGGTGTCAACCTGGTGAAGCTACCAACCAGAACTATTTGCATGCCAAATAGCATAAGCAGCAAGTGATAGACAGAGCTAAGTGATCTCACAACCAACAGAAACAGAACTGCTTAGTGTGCCAGATGAAAACTGCTGTCATCCTCAGAAATGTTTTAAAAAGCCTCCAGCCTATTTCAAAAATTCAAACTACTTCTCTTACTCGGGTTATTTAATTTAACTTATTTTGCAGTATTTTCGTCAAATGTTCCTTCGTTCAAATAACAAAGAAAACATGGTCACTGAGTATTAAGCTCAAACTTAATTCAAAATTAAATAACAAGCCAATAAATGTTTATTTCAAAAAATCTCTCTGGCCTTACCTGTCAGAAATCCCTGAGGAAAGAAGAATCCAGAAATCCAGAAAGACTTCGGTTGTCCTTGTTTGATCCAAGTCTAAAAATGAGGCAAAGGAAAAATTCAGTTCTGTGCAATTATTTCCATACATAATAGCACTTGGTGATTCGCATTAACCCACTGAACTGAATACATAAAATCACACAGACATATTTTGATACAGTCAGTCAACCTAATTTTGAACTGTTGTATGCTTAGTTTAATCTTCTCTTATAATTAAAGGAGAATTCACTTAATGTTGCCTGACATGTCAACATGAGATAGCAGGTTTTATTTATAATTCTTCCTGTAGACTAATTCAAATCAAGAGATTAGCCAAATTAGCTGATTGCAGTCAGCTTGATAGTAGAAGTACTTAGAGTGGGGCTTCCCAAACTATGGTTTAGAACTTTGATGGAGTCATGAGCAGAAATGTTGCGGTTATAAGTTCCAAGGCAGAGACAGCTGGTTCAGAGTGCAGTGCCACGTACCGCACCCTTCACCCCTCTCAGAAGTGTCTTATCTCTCACTACTTGTTCTCACTACATTGCTCTTCTCCAGTCCTGGTCTCAGAGTCCCACCAAAGAGCCATGACTATTTTAAAGCCTGACTGTTGAAAAGGTTTGGGAAGCATTACACTAGAGGAAGTAAAGATGGTAATATCACTGGACTAGCAACATAGCATTCCAGGGTCTGGTCTTTGGTGGCAATGGTCCAAATCCCACCGTGGAAACTGGGGAAATTTAAATTCAATTAATAAAGCTGCAATTGAAAACTAGTCTCAGTAATAGTTACTAAAAATAGCCAAGTTAATGTAGAAAGGTTTTTATCAGTAAGGGGAAATAGCAGGAAAGTGAAGTTAAGAATTATTAAATCAGCCAAGATCTTATTGAATGCCACAGCAAACTCGATGAGCTGAGTGATCTACTTCTGCACCTACCTCATACATCTAATGCAAAAAAATCTAGTTCACTCATGTCCTTTTGGGGAAGTAAATCTGCCATTCTCACCTGGTCTGGACTAGTTGTGGCTTCAAACCTACGGCGATGTGGTCAATACTTAACTACCCTCTGAACTGGCTGTACAAGGCACTAGAGAAATTAGAGATGAGCAACAAATGCAGAAAATGCCAGAGATCCCACAAAAGAATGAAAAAAAAAGCCTCAGTTTCACTGAATAAAGAGTAAATTTCACCAGTGTTTCTAGCCCCAGTTGCTTTCTAGTGACAAAAACATAAGTTGCTGAAAAAGCTCAGATCTGGCAGCATCTGTGAAGAAAAAATCAGAGTTAATGTTTTGGGTCTGGTGACCCTTCCTCAGAACCGAGGAGCTTTCCAGTGAACTGTGTCAAAAATATAGGTTCAGCAGTCATCTTATGAAGACAGTGCATAGTTACCTTCCAATCCAACATGACAAGATGACTTACAGACTCCACTAGAAACGCACTATTCTCTCCCATTCTCCATGCTCCCTTTCCTATTGATAGCCCTGTATCCCTGATATTTCCACTTATCCCTGTTTCAATTGAGCCCCCTTACGCAAATATCAGTATGTCCAATTTAGCTCCAGACTGAAAATGACCCTGCCCTTAACCCTATACCCTCATTATATAGAAGCCAGAGTTACCATCACATGTTTAAATTCTCTGGAGCTCCTGGTCCCCTCCCATTTATTATGAGGTGCCAGCCTACGATCTGCAAATTCCCCCTAATTGTGTGAGCATTCCTTCAGAGACTATGACGACAGTACTATGAAGTTCATCTCCAGACTGGGTTGCTTGCTTTCCCCTTGACTCCATGGGCAGTCCCTTGATATTCCCCCTGACCCTTACTGATGAAAGCCCCAAAACTGTCAATGGCCCAAAACCTCAGCTCACTTGCCATGACAGCCCAATGAGTTCTACCCATCACTCCCGACTGATGCCTCAACAGCGCCTCACCTAACCTATCTGTAATCCCTGAACTGCTTACATTTAACCTGCAGGACTGGCTGTTGCCCAATCTCCGAACTGCAAAGACACAAATCCCTAGACTCAGATGGGAACAAGTGCTTGTCTGAATGTGACCGACTCCATGGACTATAATCAGATGAGACTGTTGCAGGCTGACAGCAGCGTATTGATGTGGTGAAAATGGTGATTTTATTATGTGGAGTTGCATGGATTAAGGGTTGAGGAGGCTGGTGGCCATGGACCATGGGCCAACTGTATGCTGTTGCATGATGGCCAGGCCAGCCATTTGGCAAGGCGAGGCTGCCAGGTACCCACTCTGTTTCACCAGTTGGGTTTTTGTGACATCCAGTTTCTCAGGGGAGCAGTGGAGAATTGATAATAGGATGGAAATAAGATGATTTGGGGCTTTAATGAGGTGCAAATGCATTGAAATAAGGGAGTCAGCACTCACAGACGAGATTCTAAAATATTCATTGAAGGCTTGAGAGAAGAAATTTGGGATAACTTTTCTCAATATCAAGAATCTGATTTTTCATTCTCGCCAATGTCATCACCATACTCTATAATTCTCTAGCCGCACAGGGAGGGAGAAAATCAACCCATTGTTTTTGTAGCTAATGGATAGAGGTGTAATTGGACTTAGTTGATTCATACTTCCTGATGTTTAATAGATTAATAACATACACTGTCAAATTCACGTGTAATAAATGTTATTTTGCTGAGAATCCAATTTCAGCTGGTTCTTAATTAAGCTTTTATTTCACTGGAGGACTGCATGTCGTTGGCCCACGGTCCATGGCCACCATCCCCATGACATTTAATCCATGCAAATCCACATCATAAAATCACCGTCCTCACAACATCAATATGCTGCTAACATACCTGCCACAGTCTCATTAATGGTTAAGTCTACTCTGGATACACTTTGACACAACTTATGTAATGTAAAAGAAACACAGCTGTCAATTTGAATGTGGCAAGATCCACAAACATTATTAGGTAAGTGAACAAACATTAGGGACAGAATATGAATTGGCAGTCCATTGAAAAGAGCACTGGATGTGATGCAAACATGGGACAATGAGCCCAAAAGATGTTGTTTGTTAGAACAATTTCACCTTTCACCAGCTGTAGTGATGCCCATTGAACAATATAATTTGGCTATGACTCCAAAAGAAAAGCGAAAGACATAATGGACCATGTGGTCTCTTTCTGTGCTGTAAACCTTTGATATTTTTGACACACTTCTTTTGTTTCAATTGTATCATGAGATCTGTCTGAAAGGTCAGATGGGGCTTTGATTCAACATCAACTCTAAAGAATTGGCATTTCCAACAGTGCATCACTCCCATAGTTCTGTACTGGAGTGTCAATCCAAATATGTACCTTTGAAATGTGACATGATCCAATAGCTTTTAAGTCAGAGGTGACGGTGCTAAACACCTGCCTCAGAAGAAACAGTTTGGTTGGCCAGACTTTTGTTCTAGGGAAGGAGTGCAGCTGGAGGTTGGGTGTATATTGGAGTATGACATACTCCTCACATCTATTTACAACCCCATTCACATCCCATACACACTCCTTGTTAGGACTGAGTGCATGCACTTGTTGGATGAGAAAATATAAATGCTTCATTTTGTACAAATCTAATTTAGTTTGTAATTGGCACTAAACTGAAATCTATAGTTTACGTTCTGTGGTTGCCAACCTTCAGTAGAGTTTTAATGAGACTTTCTGTGAAAGAGCAGCTTAATTAAGAACAAACTGAAACTAGATTCTCATCACGAGTCAGTGAGGATTTTGGCTTAGGAGCGTTAAAAACTAGCCAACTTCATGTGACTTAGCATTTGAGTGCAAATTACAGTGGAGTATTGAGTTAAGGATTAACGTAGTGAAGTAGAAGAGGGGAAAGAGATGCTCTGTGGCTTTTACTTTTTCTAAACTTTTTCAGCTCATGAGTTCATTCTTACTATGTTAGCTGGTAAGTAAATAAGGTCTATGGGGTTTCTCAGGTACAACAAAGTATAACAACTATGGAAAATAATAAAATGTATTAAAATACAACAGAATATCTAACTGAATAAAATAATTAAGTAGTCTCTTGGAACAGATTATGGTAGGCAGATTAGGTGGTGTCACATTGCAGCATGTAGTAGCATCCTGGATGCCGATTTGGTCTAAAGTAATCACATCTGTGGCAAGTGTTTGAAATTCGAGCAGCTTTTACTCAGAGTTTATGAGCTGGAGACTGAACTGTAGACACTGTGACATGCTGGGGAGAGGGAAGGTTATCTGTATTCTTTGCACAATGACGCAGCCACACATCCTGGGGTGGTCATCCGAGTTGGTCAGTGTTCAAGGACAGTAAAGTGTTATTGTGAATGAGGTAGATAGGGGACCTATAGAGCAAGTATACAGGAGCCTCGATTTTTCCAACAGACTTGAGGTTGTTTCAGCTTGTCTGGATGAGAACGAGGGCTGCAGGGTTTTGAGTTAACTGACTGTGACACCATGGTATAGGAGGCCATTCAAAAAAGATTAGTAAGAAGGCACGTAGTGGTAGTAGGGAACAATCTAGTGAGGAGGACTTGACACCTTCTCTGCAGGAAAACGCATGGTTCCAGACAACTGCTTGGTGCCAGGGTTTAGGACATCTACTCAGGGCTGGAGAGGAATGTGAAATTAGGAAAAGTAGGACCCAGATGCCATGGTTCATGTAGATACAAATAACATATGCAGAACAAAGAAAGTGGTTCTGGATTGTTAGTTTGAGGAGCTAGGTGCTAAATAAAGAAACAGAATCTCAAAGGTCATAATCTCTGCATTAACAACTGAGTCACTAGCAAATTGGCAAAGGACAAATCAGATTAGAGAGATGAACTTGTGGTTCATAGACTGGTCTGTGAGAAGTGGGCTTTAATTAACATAACTTTCAAAAGAAAACAGATGAACTGTGACCAGAAATAAAAATAAATAAGTATGACCTAATAGTCATTACACAGAGACATGGCCCCAGAATAACAAGGTTTGGGACCTGAATCCTGAAGGGTACAGGGCATATAGGAAAGAAAGGAGAAAAGGAAAAGTTGGTGGGGTGGTCCGTGAGTTAATGATGGCATTAGCAGAATAGAGGGAGAAGACCTAAGTTCAGGAAACTAAGATGTAGAAACAAATTCATAGAATCCATAGAATCACTAAAGTGTGGAAACCTAGATCTAAACCCTACCCTTTCCCTGTAACCCTGTATTTCCTGTGGCTAATGCACCTAACCTACACATTCCTGAACACTATGGGCAAATTAGCATAGCCAATCCACCTAGCCTATCTTTGGACTGTGGGAAGAAACCGGAGCACCCGGTGGAAACCCACACAGACACGGGGAGAACATGCAGACTCCACACAGACAGTCACCCGAGGGTAGAATCAAACCCAGGTCCCTGATGCTGTGAGGCAGTAGTACTAACCACTGAGCCACCATTTGAAATGAGAAATGATAAAGGCAAGTAGTCACTTATAGAACTGGTAGGCAGGCCCCCTAAGAGCAACCACATAACAGGGTGGAGTATCTAGGGTGAGGAAGTAATGAAAGCTTGCCAGAGACGCATGGCCAAAAACACAGGGGATTTTAACTAACATATAGGCTTGAAAAATCAGATGGGTAAACATAGGCAGGAGTTCATAAGATGTTTTCAGGATAGCTTCTTAGAATAGTACATTCTGAAACCGACCAGAGAGCATGCTATACTAGACCAGGTATTGTGGAATGAAGTTGGATTAATGTTATATTATGTCTCACCGCAATAAACTCTGTTCTTAATATAAAATCTTTCACCCATGCTCCCAAGGGCTTGAGTGAGGGATAAGCTGCATCGGCCCAAAGAGATGGAACCTGATTGTTTAGGAAACTGGTGTATGTCTTTTCCACCTCTTCAGACATTACCACAAATCCAGCGATGGCTTTGTTCAGTGTAATTAAAGAGTCCTGCAATGAAAGGCAAATAGATGTTCAAAATGTTTATTTTCATTCTTATTTGTGGATTAAGTCAGAGAGTCACTTAGCATAGAAAACAGACCCTTGGTCCAACTGGTCCATGCTGACCAAGTTTCCCAAACTAAACTAGTCCTACTTGCCTGCATTTGATCCTTATCCCACTAAATCTTTCCTATTCATGTACCTGTTCGACTACCTTTTAAATGTTGCAACTGTACCTGCATCTACCACTTCCTTTGGCAGTTCATTCTACATATGAATAACCTTCTGCATGAAAAATTTGCCCCTTAGGTCCCTTTTAAATCTTTCTCCTCTCACCTCAAAATTCTGCCCTCTCGTTTTGAACTCCTCTACTTGAGGGAAACAACCTTTGCTATTCACCTTATCTAAGCCCCTCATAATTTTATAAACCTCTATAAGGACACCCCTCAACCTCGTATGCTCCAGAGAAAAAAGTTCCAGCCCATCCAGCCTCTCTTTATAACTCAAACCCTCCCATCCCAGTAACATCCTTGTAAATCTTTTTTGCACCTTCTCCAATTCAATAATATCCTTCCCAAAGCAGGATGACCAGAACCGTATATAGTACTTCAAAAGTGGCTTCACCAACATCCTGCACAACCACATAATGATGTCCCAACTCCTACACTCAATGGTCTAAGCAATGAAGGCAACAGTGGCAAATGCCTTCTTCACTTGCACGGAACTTGCACAGCAGAATGCAGAACAGAATAGAATATTCTTTATTGTCACTTCTATTCCAGTACAGGAGTACAGTGAAAAATTTTTACAATGGCTGCCTTTTAATGGTGCCATCTTAAGTACAAGTACTTATGTACAAATCTTAGAATAAAAACAAAATAATGTTAGACAAAAGAGGATTAAAAGGTAAGGATTTACATGTATCTGCATCCTTAGGTCTCTCCGTTCGACAACACTCCCTGGGGCCCTACCATTAACTGTGTAAGTCCTGCCCTTGTTCCACTTACCAAAATGAAACACCTTGCATTTATCCAAATTAAACTCCATCTGCCACTCCTCAGCCCATTGATCAAGATCTTTAGATAACCTTCTTTACTATCAACTATACCACCAATTTTGGTGTCAGCTGCAAACGTATTAACGATGCTTCCTCCACTCTCTTCCAAATCATCTATATAAATGACAAACAACAGTGGACCCAGCACCGATCCTTGCAGAACACCAGGCCTCCCATCTGAAAATCAATGCTCCCAACACCACTCTGTCTCTGACTGTCAAGCTAATTTTGTATCCAATTGGCAAGCTTTCCCTGAATCCCGTGTGATCTAACTTTACTAATGAGTCTACCATGCGGAACCTTGTCAAAGACTTTATTGAAGTCCACATAGACAATGTCTACCGTTCTTCCATCATCTATCTTCTTGGTGACATCCTCAACGTATTCAATCTAGTTTGTGAGACACAATTTCCCATGCATGAGGCCATGCTGACTATACCTTATCAGGCCTTGCCTCTCCAAATGCATGCAAATCCTCAATCTCCTGCAAAAACTTACCCACTATTGATGTCAGACTCACCGGTATACAGTTCCCTGGTTTTTCCTTATAGCAGTTCTTCAATAAAGGCACAGCGTTAGCCATCCTCCAGTGTTCCAGCACCTCACCTATGGCTACAGATGATACAAATATTTCTGCTAGGGGCCTCCCAATTTCCTAGGATACACTTGATCAGATCCCAGAGATTTATCCACCTTTATGTTTAAGGCCTCCAGCACCTCCTCTTCTGTAATGTGGACTGTTTTCATGACATCAATACTTATTTCCCCGAGTTCCCTAGCTTCCATGTCTTTCTGTACAGTAAATACATGAAATATTTGTTTAATATCTTTCCCTTCTGCTGTGCTTTCAAACATAGCTAACCTCATTGATCTTTAGGGACCTATTCCCTCCCTAGTTACTCTTTTGCTCTTCATGTACTTGTAGAATCTCTTTGGATTATCTGCTAAGGCTCCCTCATATCCCTTTTTCTCTCCTGATTTCCCTTGTAACAAAGTCCCTACTCCCCTTATACTCCTCAAGGGATTCACTTGATCCCAGCTGTCCATACCTGACATATGCCTCCTTCTTTTTCTTGACCAGAGCCTCAATATCTCAAGTCATCCAGTGTTCCCTACTCTTACCAGCCTTACCCTTCACTCTAACAGGAATACACTGCCTCTGAACGCTCGTTATCTCACTTCTGAATGCCTCCCACTTGCCAGTTGTCCCTTCACCTGCAAACAGTCAGCCCTAATGAACTTTTGAAAGTTCCAGTCTCATACCATCAAAATTGTCCTTACTCCAATTTAGAACTTTAAATGTTGCAAGACCTATCCTTTTCCATAACTATTTTAAACTATTAGAATTATGATCACTGGTCCGAAAGTGCTATCCTACTAACACTACAGTCACTTACCCTGCCTTATTTCCCAATAGAAGGTCAAGTTTTCTTCCTTCTGTAGTAGTACCTCTACACTGATAAAGAAAATTTTCTTGAACACATTTAACAAATTCCTCCCCATCCAAGCCCTTAACACTGTGGCCGTCCCTGTCTATGTTTAGAAAGTTAAAATCCCCTACAATTACAACCCTATTGTTATTACACATATTTGAGATCTCGCTACATACTTTATTAGCTAAAGTCTGATATCATTAAATATGTAATAACCCAGCTATCCTCCACCACCTGTCCTAGACCTACACAAGGAAGAGTGCATCAGAGGTATATGCCATCTGTCCAAAACAACATGTGCCAGCAGATATATTGAGCACTAGCATGGCCTAGATATGTCCCCTGCTAAAGGACCAACCTCTCAGAGGGACTAGTAGCATAAACCAAACGCAGAATCAGAAATCCAGCTGCAAACGTGAGAACCACAACTACAAAACTCCAAAATTATCCTCTATTTTCTAATGGTGGTCTCAACACAAATAAGGCCTGGAAGTCAAATTTACGCAGGATTCATGCTGAGAAACAACAATGAATTTTTAAACAGAACTTGAACTTTGCATTCTATAATGAAACACTTATAAAATCCATTTAAAAAACTTTTAATCTTAAGGTTACCCTGATAATCTATTTTTAACAAATCCATATTTTCTACACATATTTTAAATTCTCAGTATTATTTCTCAATAGCCAGAAACTACTATCCCATTGTTCCAAACATCATCCTGCAAATTGTGATTTTATTCAATGTCATGAAATATTGATTTACTAGTATGCTGTTTGAGGGATAGTTTTCACATGATTCTACACCATTATTACAGATTTTAGAATTTACTCTAAGAACTTCAACGTGAAATCAATCAAAATTTCATAGTGGCAGATGATTTCCCGCCACCCAGCAAATACTAAATCTAAAAATATGAATTTTTGAAGATTAAATGAGTTGAATCTATTCTGAACAAATTTAATATTGTGCAAAATTAACAAGTACACAAAGAACTCAAGATAAGACAGCATAACACGTTGAAATTAATCAAACAAAAACAAAAGAACTGCAGATATTGGAAATCTGAAACAAAAACAGAAATTGCTGAAATATCTCAGCAGGTCTGGCAGCATATGTGGACAGAAATCGGAGTTAACATTTCAGGTCCAGCGACCCTTCTTTAGAACTTGAGTTGCTGCAAGACTTGCTGACATTTTCCAGCAATTTCTGTTTATGTTGAAGAAATTAATACTGTCTTCAGCTACATGCAAGAACAGACACAACTCTTTTGCATACGAAGTTTTTCATTAAGAATGTAAGGGCAGTACTGTTTGAATGTTCATTTACAGATCTGTTACTTACTTTTAAGACGACCAGGAGACCGTTAAAACGGTCAACTTCTTGACCAAGAACAGTGGTTAACGAATCTAAGCGTCCTTTCTTATCTCTGACAAATAGGGATTCAATTGCAACTTCAAGGTCAAGCTTTTCTGAAATAATATTTGGAAAAAAAATGAGGAAGTATTTTCTGTAGACCTCGGGAGCAATTTTCTACTTTGCTGGCCAGGCAGTAATATGGCAGAGCAAGTGGACGGCCTATTATCAGAGCAGCCCGATTTTCATTCCTTGGTCCATTGGCCCATCTGATCAAGGTCCCATTGTACTTTAAAGTAACCTTCTTCGCTGCCCAATCAAGCAGTAATTTTGGTGTCATTTGTAAATTTGCTAAACATACCTCCTATATTCACATTCAGATCATTTATATAAATGACAAAAAGCAGTGACTCAACACTGATCCCTGTGGCATACTGCTGGTCACAGACCTCCAGTCCAAAAAGCATCTCTCCAATATCACCCTCTGTCTCCTACCTTCTAATCAATTTTGTATCCATATGGCTAACTCTCCCTGTATTCCATGTGATCTAACCTTGTTAAACAGTCTACCATGCGGAATCTTGTCAAACACTTTACTGAATCCCATACAGACAACGTCCACTGTTCTGCTTTCATCAATCTTTTTTGTCACTTCTTCAAAAACCTCAATCAAGTTAGTGAGACATGATTTCACACACAAAATCATGTTGACTATCCTTAAATCAGTCCTTGTCTTTTCAAATACATATAAATCCTATCCCTCAGATTCCCTCCAACAACTTGTCCACACTGATGTCAGGCTCATCAGCCTATAGTTCCCTGACTTTTCCTTACCACTCTTCTTAAATAATGGCACCACATTAGCCAACATTCAGTCTTCCAGCATCTCACACGTGGCTATTGATGATACAAATATCTCAGGCAAGGGGCCCAGCAATCATTTCCCTATCTTCCCACAGAGTTCTACAGTACACCTGATCCAGTCCCAGGGATTTATCCACCTTTATGTATTTTAAGACGTCCACACCTCCTCTTCTGTAATATGGACACTTTTCAAGATATCGCTATTTATTTCCCTAAACTCTCTAGCTTCCATATCCTTCTCCACAGTAAACACTGACGCAAAAATACTCTCACCCATCTCCTGTGGTTCCACACATGGGTGGCCTCGCTGATTTTTATGGGGCTTTATTCTCTCCCTACTTACCCTTTTATCCTTAATGTATTTGTAGAAACTCTTTGGATTCTCCTTCACCCTATTTGCTAAAGCTATTTCATGTTCCCTTTTTTGCCCTCCTGATTTCCCTCTTAAGTATACTTCTACTGCCCTTATACTCCTCTAGGGATTTACTTGATCCCTGTTGTCTACACCGGACATATGCTTCCTTCTTTCTCTTGACCAAAACCTCAATTTGTCTAGTCATCCAGTATTTCCTACATCTATGCGCTGTGCCCTTCACCCTAACAGGGGCCTACTGGCCCTGGACTCTCGTTATCTCATTTTTGAAGGTTTCCCACTTTCCAGCCGTCCCTTTACCTGTGAACATCCATCCCCAACCAACTTTTGAAAGTTTTTGCTGAATAGCGTCAAGATTGGCCTTCCTCCAGTTTAGAACTCTGACTTTAGATTAGGTTCCATAACTATTTTAAAACTAATTGAATTATGATCATTTGCCCCAAAGTGCTCCCCCACCGATACCTCAGTCACTTGCTCTACCTTATTTCCCAAGAGTAGGTCAAGTTTTGCTCTTTGTCTAGTAGGTAGATCCAAATACTGAGGAAGAAAATTTTCTTGTACACACTTAAATTCCTCTCCATCCGATCCCTTAACACTTTGGCAGTACCAGTTTATGTTTGGAAACTTAAAATCCCCTACCATTACCACTGTTATTCTTGCAGATAACAGAGATCTCCTTATAAATTTGCTTCTCTATTGTGTTCGTAGTTTAGGAAGTGAATGTTGAAGGTGATGGATGGGATGCCAATCAAGTGGGCTGCTGTGTCTGGATAATATCAGTTTTCTGGATTATTGTTGGAACTGCACCAATCCAGGCAAGTGGGCGGAATTCCTAAATGCTCTTGACATGTGCCTTGTGCCTTGGTGAGCAGGTATTGCGGATGCAGGAGATTACTTATTTACTACAGAATTACTATCCTCTGACCTGCTCTTGTAGCCACACTATATATATGGCTAGTCCAGTTCAGTTCCTGGTCAATGCTAACCGCCAGAACGATGATGATTGAGAAATGAACAATGTTAACGCCATAAATCTTTAAAAAATATATTCTCTCCAATTGGAGATGGTCATTGCTTTGTACAAGTGATTTGAATGCTGCCACTTACGAACCATGCCTGAATGTTTTTCAGATCTTGCTGTGGAAAAGAGAGATAGTGAGGCTAAATTGTCAAGAAGGTATTCCAGAACTTATCACCTTGGTAGTTGAAGGCACAGACACCAAGTGGCAGAATAATTATTATTAGAGAATTTCAAAGATCAAATTTGGAGGAATGCAAGTATTTTGGAGGGCCAGAAGAAGTTACACAGATCAAGAAAGGGAGGCCAATGAAGGATTGTAAAACAAGGATGAGAATTTTAAAACTGAAGTACATCTCAATCAGAAGCTGGTCCAAAATGATGAGCAGAGCAGCGATGGGCAAATAAATGTAAGCTGAGAATAAATTAGAACATTCAAGTTTTAAGATAGAAATTACATGGATAATGTGGTTGGTTTGCTCGCCTTGCCGGTTCGTTAGTTCGCAGATGTTTCATTACCCTGCTGGGCAACATCATCAGTGCAGCCTCCAATGAATCACTGTTGTGTTTTCCCGCCTGGTATCTAAATTCCGGGGTCCGTTGGAGTTGATTACCTCATTTCCGGTATTTCTTCACTGTGGTGTATATATAGGGTTTAATTCTACGTGTTTATTGATGGTCTTCTTGGTGGAGAACGAGGCCTCTAGAACTTCCCGTGCTTGTCTCTGTTTGGCGTGTCCTAGGATCCTGATGTTGTCCCAATCGAACTGATGGTTCTCCTTATCCATGTGAATGGACACGAGTGATTTTTGGTCATGTCTTTTTGTTGCGAGTTGGTGTTCATGTATTTTTGTGGCTAATGTCCTTCCTGTCTGTCCAATGTAATGTTTGTCACAGTCCTTGCATGTAATCTTGTATATCATGTTGGTCTGTCCATTGTGGGTAAGAGTCTTTGGTTCGAGTTAGCAGTTGGCATAGGATTGACGTAGGTTTGTGTGCTACTCTGATGCCCAACGGTTGTAGGAGTCTTGTAGTCAGTTTGGATATGTTCATGATGTATGGTAACGTGACAAGTGAAAACACTATTTAACACTGCAGCAACATGGAGCTACACCAAAACAAAGAAGAATACCTCTACCAAGTATTTAAGGACAACAGGTACCCAAACAGCTGAGTCCGACAATGCCTATCACACGAACAACAATAGGAAGATACAGCACGCCCTTGACATGATACCATACGTCAAGAACATATCCGAACTGACTACACGACTCCTACAACCATTGGGCATTAGAGTGGCACACAACCCTATATCAACCCTACGCCAACTGCTAACTCAAACCAAAGACCCCTTACCCACTATAGACAGAACCAACGTGACATACAAGATTCCACGCAAGGACTGCGACAAACATTACATTCGACAGACAGGAAGAAAACTGGCCATGAGATTACATGAACACCAATTAGCAACAAAAAGACACAACCAACACTAACTCGTCTCCGCTCACACGGATAAGGAGAACCACCAGTTCGGTTGGGACAATAACAGGATCCTACGACAAGCCAAACAGAGCCAAGCACGAGAAGTGCAAGAGGCCTGGTTCTCAGTTCGGTTGGGACAATATCAGGATCCTACGACAAGCCAAACAGAGACAAGCACGAGAAGTGCAAGAGGCCTGGTTCTCCACCAAGAAGGCCATCAATAAACACGTTGAATTAGACCATATATATACACCAATGCAAAGAAATACTGGAAATGAGGTAATCAACTCCAACAGACCCCAGAGTTTAAATACCAGGTGGGAAAACACAACAGCGCTTCATCAGAGGCAGCACTGATGATGTTACCCAGTAAGGTAATGAAAAGTCTGCGAACTAACGAACCAGCTTGGCGAGCGAACCAACCACAGCTTCCACAATCCAAGCTACAAATCTACTTAAAAACCTTAGATTACATGGATAAATATTGCAGCAGCAGATGAGGCAGTTATAGAGCCAGACAATATTCAGATGGTACATAGGTGATCCTTGTGATAGTGCAGAAGGTGGTCAGAATCTCATTCAGCTTCAAAAACCCCAAGCCTCATTCATCAGGGAGAGGGATGGAATCAGTGGCTAAGGAACGAAGATCAAAAATAAAGACTTTTGTCTTTGAATGCATGACAAAAGGCTTCAACAGCATGCCTATGTTGCAGTTATGCTTTGATCTTTCCCTATTTAGTTGGAGGAAATTTCTGCATGTTCAGCACCAAATGCCACTGGAACAAACATGAAAGAGACAGTGGAGGGGTCGAGAGTAGTTTTGGTGAGGTAGACTTGAATTTCATCAATGTACATGGGGAAACTGATGTTTTTGGATGTTGTTGGGAGTAGGCAAATAAGTTAGAAATAGGACGAGCCAGAGTGACAGCCATTTTTATATATGATGTAAAACTAGCTGCTCAGCTCACTATCACCCTTACACTATTTCATAGTCAGTAACTGTAATGCCATTGAACATTGGGCGGTGATTGTTAGATTCTCTCTTGTTGGAATCAGTAATTCACTGGCATGCTCCACTAGTTTCTCCAATTTCATCCATCCCACTCCATAACACAAAATGCACATTTCAGTAACTAATATTTTCTGATACCTGCTGGCCCTCATTACAGTTGAATTATGGCATGATGATGTGATGGAGGCACTGAGAGGGCCACTGCTTGAATCACTGTTTGAAAAGTTGTCTGTTCATTTATTTGGAGTAATGGCCACTATTGAATGTGAGAAAGCAGATGTAAAGCATATGCAATATGAGGGTAGTGGAAATTTGGACGTCTCTTGACAATAGATCAATTGCTCATTTTAAAACTGAGACTGATAAACCTTTGGCAAGCAAAGTATATCAGGGGATATCGGACCAAGTCCTCACAGATCAATCATGGCAGAACAGGTTGGAGGGACTAATTGGTCTACCTCTCCTCTAATGTTCTTGAATTCTGACACTGAACCACATAAGGAGATATTAAGACAGTATTTCGTAAAAGTTGTAGGTTTTAAGAAGGCTCCTCTAAGAGGGAAATAGAGGGATAGTGAGAGCGCAAGAAGAGCATGATGTTTAAGGAGGAATTTCCAGAGCTTAGCGCCTAAACAGTTGAAGGCATAGATAAAAAAACAAACACAATTACGCAAAGGACCAGAGTTGAAGCACGAGGGGAGATTATGGAGATAGGTAGGAGCAAGGTAGTGAAGGGGTTTGAAAACAAGAAAGACCACAAAATGAATGTAAAAATCCCTTTTCACAATTCAAGATTGTTTTATAACTGAATTGGTAAGATTTTTATGCAAAATAATTTACTGTGCACTTCCTCAGCATTTATTCAAACTTTATTTGATTAAAGAGGATATTGTGGTGAAAATTATTTTCTTTCACAAATGAAAATAATATTTTGCAATAATATTTATTTTATTCGAAGGGAAAGTAGTAGACTCCATCATAGATAGTAGGAACTGCAGACGCTGGAGAATCCGAGACAACAAGGTGCAGGGCTGGATGAACACAGCAGGCCAAGCAGCATCATAGGAGCAGAGAGGCTGACGTTTCGGGCCTAGACCCTTCATCAGAAAAGGACTCCATCATAGATATTTTTAAAGAGCATATGAATGCAAATTCATCACATTATTTCTAAAACACAAATTCCGGTAACAAATACATCAGTTTTTGAATAAATCTTAATGTATTTACCTGGAATCTTTGAGAGAATGGAATCTGCTAAATCGTGAACAATTTCATCACTACTTTTGCCAGTCCCACGTGCCATAATGTTGGGCTGTACTACAAGAACTGTTACTATCATGTTATTAGTTTCATTTCGCTGTAATAAGAAGTAACAAATTGATACATTACATGCAATTTCAGAGCATTTACATTCAGAAAAGAGCTTAACTTTCAGAAAATAGTTCAATATGAAACTAATAATTACCATGTTAATCACAGGAAGTTCAAAATGTAATTCATTGGAGGTTTATTGTATCATCAATAACATTTGAAGGCAGTCAGCATGAACTACTCAAAATTACAACATGAGAAACTTCATGACCAAAGGAGGTTATTTAACTTTTTACCCCACAATCTATCCCAATGTAACCTTTCTTGCCCTATTCTTCTTAATTAAGTACTTTGCAATTGATTAATTCCTTCTTGAATTATATAATTGGGTCAGTTTCAATCCTTAACTATAATAATGCATTTTAATAAGCCATTGGCTGAAATGACTTTTCTAACACTCCTCTCAGAGTCATAGAATCCTACAGCAAGGAGATAGGTTCTTTGGCCCAAACTGTTCCATGCCGACCAAAATGTCCATTCACACTAAGCCCATTTCCCTGCACTTGGCCCATATCCTTCTAAACCTTTCCTAAACATGTATTTGTCCAGATGCTTTTTAACTGTTGCTAATGTATCCACCTCAACCACTTCCGCTGGCAGCTCATTCCATATGCGTACCACCCTTCGTGTAAAAATGTTGCCCATCAGGTTTCCACGTATTTGTTCCCCTCTTTTAGCTTAAACTGATGCCCTCTAGTCCTTGATTCCCCAACCCTGGGAAAAAGACTGAGTGCATTCACCCTATCCATTGCCTCTCATGATCTTATACACTTCTAAAAGGATCCCCCCTCAGTCTCCTACATTCTAAAGAAAAAAGTCCTAGCTTGTCCAACGTCTCCCTATAACTCAGTCCCTGGAGTACTGGCAAAATCCTTGTATGTCTTCTGCTCCCTTTCCAGTTTAATAACATTCTTCCTATAGCAAGGTGAACAAAACTGAACACAATACTCCAAGCACGGCCTCAGCAATGTCATGTACAACTGCAACATAACTTCCCAACTTCTGTACTCAGTGCCCTGACTGATGAAGGCCAGTGTGCCAAAAGCCTTCTTCACTGCCCTGTCTACCTGTGGCTCCACTTTCAGAAAACCATGCAACTGAACTCCAAAGTCCCTCTCTTCCACTACACTCCTTAAGGCCCTACCATGAAACTCCTACCTGGATTTGACTTTCCAAAATGCAACACCTCACACTTATCTATATTAAACTCCATTCCATTTCTCAGCCCACTTCCCCAGCTGATCAAGATCCTGCTCCAACTTCTGATAACCTTCCTTACAGTCCACAATACCACCTATTTTCGTGCCATCTGCAAAATTACTAATCATGCCTTGTACATTCTCATCCAAATTATTGATATAGATAACAAAGAGCAATGGGCCCAGCACAGACCCCTGAGACACAGCACTAGTCACAGGCCTCCAGTCAGACAAGCATCCTTCCAACTCGGGTTGTGGGTGAGGTTGTTGACCTGCTCACCGAGCTGGCTTGTTCTCATTCAGACATTTAGGTGACATTGTTAGTGGAGCCTCCAATGAGACGATGTTATTCTACTCTGCTTGGAATTTATACTGTCTGGTCCGTTATGATGAGTAGTGTCATTTCCGGTTTTGATCTGTGTGGGTTTGTACATGAGGTCCAATTCTATGTGTGTGTTGATTGCATAATGGGTGGAGAACCACACCTCTAGGAATTCCTGTGTGTGTCTTGGGCTACTATGGTCACCTTGTCCCAGTTAAACTGATGGCCTTCATTGTCTGAGTGTACCGATATTAAGGAGGCACAACAAACTCTCCTTAATATTAGTACACTCAGACAATGAAAGCCATCAGTTGAACTGGGACAAGGTAACCATAGCAGCCCAAGCCAAACATCGACATGCGCGGGAATTCCTAGAGGCATGGTTCTCCACCCGTAATGCAATCAACAAACACATAGAATTGCACCTCACACAGATCAAACCCACACAGATCAAAACCGGAAATGACACTACCCACTATAAAGGTCCAGACAGTATAAATTCCAAGTGGAGTAGAATAGCATCGCCTCATTGGAGGCTCCGCTGATGATGTCACCTAGCATGGTGATGAAACGTCTGAACAGAACAAGCTAGTTCGGTGAGCAAGTCAACAACCTCAAACTTCCTTCCAGTATTACCCTCTGCTTCCTACCATCAAGCCAATTGTGTATCCAATTTACCAGCTTTCCCTGGATTCCATGTGATCTAATCTTCCAGAGCAGCCTACCATGAACCTTATCAAAAGCCTTATTGAAATCCATATAGACTACGTCTACTGCCCTGCCCTCATCAACCTTCCCAGTCACTTCATCACAGGACTCTAACAAATATGTGAGGCATAATCTCTCACACACAAAGCCATGCTGACTATTCCTAATCAAACCCTGTCTTTTCAAATGCACGTATATCTTATCCCTCAGAATCTTCTCAAGTAACTTACCTACCACAGATGTTAAGCTCACTGGTCTATAATTCCCAAGTTTTTCTTTGCAGCCCTTCTTGAATAAGGGCACAACATTTGCTACCCTCCAGTCTTTCAGGACTTCACCCGTGGCTAATGGTGATGCAAATATATCAGCCAGGGCCCCCGCAATTTCTTCCCTAGCCTCTTGCAGGATTCTTGGATATATCTGGTCAGGACCAGGAGATTTATCCACCTTCCTACACACTAATACTTCCAACACCTCCTGTACTTTTTGTAATTTTAATACAACTGCTAAATTTATACATCCAAGTTACTATTTTGTTGACTACTTAAGATCATTCTCTACTATGCGATTTTGCAAATTCTTCTAAAACATCAATCAAATTGCTGTAACCTTTTCTACATTTATAAATAGTTTTACCCATGTCTTGCATAATAGAAGGTTCTCCATTGCTCAAACGATATTGGTAAATTTATGTTGGATATTGTTGGCTCCAAAGTCCTTTCTTAAGACGACAAATGCATGGCAGATGAAATATAATGAGGCAGCAAAAAAAAAGGAAGGCAGATTATTATCTAAATGGGGATAGATTGGGAAGGGGGGAGGTGCAACAAGACCTGGGTGTCCTTGAGCATCAGTCACTGAAAGTAAGCATGCAGGTGCAGAGGACAGTGAAGAGAGTAAATGCTATATTGGTCTTCACAGCCAGAGGATTGATGGCAAAAACAATTGAACAGGGCCTTGGTGAAATCACACCTGAGTATTAAGTGCAGTTTTAATATCCTTATTGAAAATGTCAATAGATTTAAGTCAAATGTAAATATGTTTCACAAAGCAGTATAGACTGAATCATATCTGATAATCATAAATTTGCTGATACTTTTATTTTAAATAATTTAAATAGTATCACCTTTAGAAGAGTTGTGGAAAAATCTAATTGAAGAAGTGTAGATGTGCTATACACTGGCACATGATAATGGGATGCTTGGATAATGATTCACCTGCATCTTCACATTTTAAGTTGTGATTGTTATGAACTGCTATTCCTCTCTAAATACTGTAAGTTATTGTATTAGTTCCTTTACATCCATCACCCATTTCCTGACATTGCACAGCAAGAACTGGTAAATCAAACTGCCTCTATGGTTTTATCAATGAATCACTGAGTCGGGGGAGATCCACAGAAAAGTTTATGGCACCACAGGAGGCCATCCTGTCCATGATAATTGCAAAGAAACTTATCCAATCTAATTTTACTTTTCTGTGCTTGGTCTAAAATTCTGCAGGTTACATCACATAAGTGTATATCTAAGTGTTCTTGTTTTATTGTGTAAAGAACATCTACATCTGCCACTGTTTGAGGCACAGAACTGTAGACCCCCTATCACCCTCTATATGAAAAATAACTCTGCAACTTCCCAGTACTAATTTCTTAAAACTTGATTATTGATCTTGATTACTGTCTTCTCTGCTAATGGAAATAAGGACTCTTGTCCACTCTGTAAACACCTCAGCTGTATGCATCTCAGTTGCATCTTGCATTGCTCTGTTACAAGAAAAGAAAAGCCCAGCTGCCACATTTTTCGTCTCAGCTAAAATTCTCCATTCCTGGCAACAGCTCATAAACCTCCTTTGTGTTGTGTAAGACAGTTAGTACCTGAAAGGGTTAACTGACATCATGAGATAGGCTCTGCACACTAGGATATACAAGACTGCTCATGGGAGGTGCTAACTGGAGACTGAGTTGTTAGAAATCTGTGCTGTGTGAAAATGTTTTAGTAACAATATGAACTTGCACTTAAATTGAGCTTTATGTTTCATACAAGACCATCATGTTTCTCAGATGCAATGTAACTAGTTATTAAGCATTATACAAGAAACCTATTTTCTGTAGATCAAGATTGTGTCTTTCTTCTACTAATGATGTTGCATGGGCATCCTTCCCTGCATGGTTCAAGTCAGTCAGACTACTGCTAGCAGGGCGAAATAGTGGCAGTGAATCTACTCAAGATACCTCAAATTGTACAGGTGGATGATCATGATAATATGAGATGGTGGTCAACTGGAGATGTAGTTCAGCCAAACCAACCTAAGATGGTAATAGTGTGCAGGGCTGGATGAACACAGCAGGCCAAGCAGCATCATAGGAGCAGAAAGGCTGACGTTTCGGGCCTAGACCCTTCATCAGAAATGGGGGAGGGGAAGGGGGTTCTGAAATAAATAGGGAGCGAGTGGGAGGCGGATAGAAGATGGATAGAGGAGAGGATAGGTGGAGAGGAAATTCCCTGCCTCTTTGACCTGTTTGTTTCCTCTCCACCTATCCTCTCCTCTATCCATCTTCTATCTGCCTCCCACTCGCTCCCTATTTATTTCAGAACGCCCTTCCCCTCCCCCTTTTCTGAAGAAGGGTCCAGGCCCGAAACGTCAGCCTTTCTGCTCCTATGATGCTGCTTGGCCTGTGTTCATCCAGCCCTGCACCTTGTTGTCTCGGATTCTCCAGCATCTGCAGTTCCTACTATCTAAGATGGTAATAGTGGCAGGATGTGAAGATACAAGATCCTGTACCCTTTCTAGCATGATGATGTCATGCAAGGCACTGGAAAGTAGATGAAGTCAGCAGAATTTCATTGGTTTTCTATTTTCTACTGAAGTGGCCAACAATGTCTGCATTGCATATAACTGAGATGAGAAAATTCCTACATAAGGCATTTTGTGGGTGCGCAAATTCCATAATAGTTTTCCTCAATTCCAAACTACATTTACTATACAGAGACATTTTTGTACCTTATATTGAGCATAATTTTCATCCTTTGACCACAAGTTGTAGAGAAAAGAGTATCTAAGAAGAAATTGGATTTTTCCCTGAGATACCATTTAAACTGAACTAATTGACAAAACTGCACTTTATGAAATTATCATTCTAATTGTTGATTAATCATATTCTGTTGAATATTCACAGGATCACATACCAATCTAAGAGATTGGTGATCAGTGTTCAGAATTATAATTTATTTAAAGGTTTGATTTTAGAGATCATATCTAATAGTCCTCATTCAAATATTTGACGAGTTCTCTGATATTTTTCACTTTGACTGAAGCAAGTGTTCACTGAGTAAAGTTGCACTAAGGTGTGCAAAAATTAAACAATGAATAAGAAAATTGCTGAAGGATTTCATCAATCAGGTCAGCAAAAAAAAAGACTACTCTTCTATCACCATTAAGGTGACAGCATATAATAGTTGCTGGAATAATTGCTTTATGGCTTGGCAGAATTATGCTGCTTTGAAGAATATAGTTCTATTATGATTTTACATAAAATGAGTATTTTATTATAAACAATTAGTAAGATCATCTCATTAGCACAACACACTGAATACGAACCTGGAAAGCCAAATTAGCATTTTCATGCATCCCAAATATTTCCGGGTCATCAATCAGGGGAAGGCTTTCAATATATTCTCTGTATGCCAGCAAGCTGTCTGCCTCAGGGCTATAGTAAGTTCCTGAAAACACAGAACATTGAACAATTGCATTACAATAGAACTAGTCAATCTCATTGTGGAGCAGAAGCTAACAGTTTAAGGTGGAACATTTAGCACTTCTTCAATAATCAAACAATATTCTCAATTTATAAATATAATGAAATAGGACATTTTGCACATTGAAGAAATACTCTAACACAAAATACTGAAGATACTGGAAGTCTCTTGTAAAGACAGAAAATGCTGGAAATACTTCGTAGGGCAGGCAGCGTCTCTGGAAAGGTTCATTTCAAGTCTGTGTCTTACTCAGCATTCTGGGTTAAAATGTGGAAGCAAATGGTTTCCCCTTCTCTGTGAGCAGTCATTAAGATGGCAAGTATTAAATCCCAGCAGGAACATGTACTCTGTGATAAACATGGTTCCATGTGCGCATAAATATTGAAATGGCAGCATTCTGTTGGACAGAGTGGCTGTTACTGAAGAAATGTGTATAGATGAAGGTTTGGTATTCTGAACATCAGGAACAATCATGCTTAGATTTGAAAGTAGCTAAAACCTTGTGAGGCAAAGCTAATTTGAATTGCTATATAACCAATTGTCTGAATGGAAGGCTTTGGTGGATCTTTGACCTTGGTTGATTAGGATATACTCTTAGTGCTGCCTTTAAATTGGCTAGGACTGTACATTGTGTTGCAGTTCACACCATACCAGCAGAAAAAAGTTGGTGGTGACACTGCTGTTGTCCAGGAGGCCACCCTGCAGGCATTTAACACTTTTGAGGTGTTGATTGGTTCAGAGTAAGGTTTCCAACCCAAACCTGGGTATGAGGTCATGCCTCTGACAGCTGTTGGCCAATGAAAAAAATCAGCAATTCTCTGGTCCCAGGGAACAGTGGCTACTGATGGGAAGCATCAAGTCCCCAGCAATGGTTTTGTTGATGCTGGAAGGGAGGATGTGTTGGAGGTGGGATGGTGTTGGTGGTTTAGCAGTGTCATAATCAGATCCCACTGAGGGTAATGAGTTGGGTAAACAGGTCAGAGGAAAAGAAAGTGTGTATAGGACAGACCTTGGGTTGAGGAGTCTTCAATGGGCTTGATGGACTTTAATAGCAGGACTCTGGAGCCCCTTCTCTTTACTGCCAATAATCCAAGGAGTGCTTATTGTCAAATAAATCCCTTTCCCAACTTCATTTCAGCAAAATTTTTGCATTTCTATTTTTAGTTTCACTTCAGCCAGTTTTTGTCTTGCAAGAGGTTTACAAAATACAAAAGTCTTGATGGCTGCTTGCGAGAAAATCGCTTAATACAATATTGGGCTGGACGTCTTCTCACTCTCCATTTATGCCTGAGATTGGACTTCCTGCATGTCTTTCAAAGAAAATTAAATGTTTTCTCTCTAAGGTCTGTCAGTCACATCAGGATAAAACTCGATTGCAGTGCTCTTACTCTTGAGCTAAAGACCTATTTCTCAGCCTGTACATTTACAGATCATGTGGGTGACACCCAATCCAATATGCGGTCAGGACATTGGTGCTTATGTATGCAAATGATGTTTCTTATGTCTGATTTCAGCTTAACATTGATACTGCAAAGCCAATTGCATTTCAGTTAAATTATATGATGTTCAGAGAACATGCTTCTCAATTGCACAATTTATTAATACCATTATGCAAATATCATGTAATATCTTAGCACTCGTGGTTACTCTCTTGCAAATCTCCAGGAATCCTACAATAGCACCTTCAAAACCTACAACCTCCATCACCTAGAAGGACAAGAGCAGCAGGCACTTGGGAATACAATCACCTACAAGTGTTGAGACTATCATTATGTTTCTTTCTTTTAAATTTTGGTTTGGAACTGTGAGTTGAAGTTGCTTGTTTAAAAAAAAATGGAGAGAAGAAGAGATAAATGACTTGTTCGGAACTGGCCTGCAAAGATAATGCAATTAAACTACTGCTCCAAGGACGCTGTAAACAAACAGGCAAAGAGGTATGCTGTGCTCAGGGACTGGGAACTGGTTAGATGTCAAATGGTCTAGCAAGGGAGAATCGTCACTGGCCGGGCAACCACAAAGAATACTGAAAAAAGAAGTGAGCGATTTCTGACTGGGTTTTGGGGAGAAGGCAACTTTGTTTTGAAAGCTTCTGGACTGGCGTCTTTTTTGTTTTGCTCTAGGTATTCTCCAGTCATTGACCAGTTGAAAGCTCTGAGAAACGAATCCCAGTCAGTAAGAAGTAAACAAATGGTCTCCAGAGGTCTGCCAAAGCTATTTGCAGTGCCCAGTGACTTCGGAATTCCACCAAGTCCTGAGTGCTTGTAATCAAACCTATCATCCAAAGATTACATGAAGGCTTGGTATTCATTGTTGAAATAGTTATTGAACTAACAAATTATGATTATTTTATTTCCTTCTTTAATTGATTCCATAACTTTGTCTGTCTGAAAGTGGAAGTTTATGATCAAAGAGAATTGGATATAGATCATTGATATTAATTAGATTACCTTGTTGCTTATCCATGCTCTACTGAAGTTACATGCTTAATAATAAATTGTTTTTTTTTGTCAAAGTTATAAACTTGGTGTCCAAGATCTATTATTTGCAAAATCATGTGAGTAAGTAACATTTGAGCAGGTTTGAAGGTTATTGAATGTTTTATTTTCACTGTATTGGGAATCCAGTGATACTAACATTGACTTGCTGATGTTGGTAATGTTCATATCCCAAGAATTAATTTTAAAAATTCCCAAGATGCTAATAATCTGAAGAAAAAAATTCAAATTGAGAGCCCAATGTTTTAAATTATGTTTACAGTATCATAATAGTATGTTGGGCCTATGATTAAGATACCAATGACATATTAGTCAATGTTGAAAAAAGCTAAATAATTAGATGCGTAAAAATATTAACAAGAATCTTTGAAAATTGCTTAAGGCGAAGAAGCTGAATCATTAGGACTTAGAAACTTTACTTGCCTGATCCTGAATACTTGTATCCATCTTCCAGAATGGTAGGTGAGAAAAATCGTTTTAAGATAGTGCGGAGACATCGTTGGTCCCATGCATCTGTGACTCGACCTCCATAAGTGATCTCACCTATTCAGTGTAATTAACGTAATTGTTATAATGGCCATGCAAATAAACAACAAATGGTCCAATGTAACTGTCCTCTATGGTCATCCATTGCTATACATTCTAGATTTGTTAGAATTCTTTGAGAATGTAACAAGCAGATCATAAAAAGGAATCAGCAGATGTGTTGCAGTTGGATTGCCAAAAGGCATGTAATAATGCACCATATTAAAGGTTACTATGCAAGATAAGTGCTCTTGTGTTAGGGATACTATATTAGCATGGATTTGGATTTGCTAACTAACAACAAGCAGAGTTGGAATAAATTGATTTCTTTCAAGATACCAAAGAGGAACTAGTAAAGTGCCACAGGGATCAATGCTGAGGCCTCACTTATTTAGAATCTATATGAATAGATTAAAGGACCAAGTGCATTGTCATCAAAATTGATGAATATATAAGGATCAGGAGGAAAGCCAGTCATAAGGAAGGCACAGTCAGAAAAGGGATGTACATCATCCAATCAAAGAATGTTTACTGCACAGATGTAGGCTATTAGGCCCATCACATTTGTGTGAACCCTCCCCTGGAGCAGTTCACCCAATCCCACTTGCCTACCTTTTGTAGCCTTACATATTTCTCTTTTTGAATTCCTCAATTGAATCTGCTTCCTCCATTCTACCAGGCAAAGGATTCCAATTGCTAAGCAGTTGTTGAACAAAAATATTTTCCCTGGGTCACTGTTGCCTCTATTGCTAATTACCAAATATCTGAGATTCCTGGTTCTCAATCCTACCACCAAGTGGAATGTTTTCTGACTGAAGGCCCCTTATAGTTTTGAGCACCAAATAAGTTAAATAGATCGAGTTGTCAAAAATTTAGCAGATGAAGTATAATGTGGAAAAATATGGAGGTTGTCCACCTCGTGAGAAGAATAAAAAAAACAGAATATTGTTTAAATGGAAAGAATGCAGGTACCTCAGGATCTGGCTGCCCCCAGTGTGCATGAATCACTAAAATCAGCATGCGTGTGTAGCAAGTAATTAGGGAGTTAGTGAAGTGTATGCCTTAACTGCATTAAAAATGGAGTATTAAATTAAGGAAGTCTTAGTACAACTGGACAAGATGTTAGTGAGACTGTATCTCGAGTGTGGTATGCAATTGTGATCAAAAGAATACACCTTGCATTTTGAAAAAGCTCAGAAAAAGTGTAAGAGCTTTATTCCTAGGATGAAGGGTTTGACTTTGAGTGGGTTGTTCCTGTATTCATTGCAGTTTAGCAGAAAACAATTGATCTTATTTGAAATATATAACGTTTTGAATGCATTGAGGCCATGATCATTTTTCTTTTATTTTTCCCATTTTTGATATTGAACTGACTGTTGAAATGGAGTATTGAACTTTAAACTTTGAACATCAACTTGCTTTAAAAAATACAAAAGATGGATGTCTGCTGTTGAGAACTGGCCTGGAAAAATAATGTAGGCTAATTACTGCTTTAAGAACACTGTGGATGATGATTTGACAGTGAGATGTTGTTATACTTAGGGACTGGCAGTTGGATGTTGAATCAGTCAGTCAAGGGAAGATTGGTAAAAACTGAAAGAACTGTGGATGTTGTAAATCAGGAACAAAAACAGAAGTTGCTGGAAAAGCTCAGCAGATCTAGCAACAGTTGTGAAGAAAAAAATCAGTTGTAAGGAAGGGTCACTGGACCCGAAACGTTAACTCTGATGTTTTCTTCACAGATGCTGCTAAAAGGAAGATTGGTGCTGGCCAGCCAACATTTGAATAGGAGGCGGATTTGCTTTAGAACTGCTAGATTGGGAAGTTTTTTTTCTGTAAACTTTGCTCTCTCTAGTTATTCTCCAGTTTCGACTTGGTGAACATTCTGAGAAAAGAATCCCAGTCATAAGAAATTATAGACATTCGTAATAAGTTAACTTTTAATTTAAGGAATAAACTTGGTGCCCAAAATCCATTATTCATAAAGTCTGATTGAGCAAATTTGAGGTCTTTGAATATTTTAATTTTGCTATGTTATAAATCCAGTAGTAGTGAAGCTGATTTGGTTGACTTGCTATCCCTGTGTCATAACAGAAGGGACTTGATAGCGTAGAATGTTGCGCCTGATGGGAGAATCTAAAAGTAGGGAGTAAAGTTTCAAAATAAGGTGTATCTCATTTCAGATAAAGATGGGGAGAAATTTCCTCTCATATAGAGTCATTAATCTTTGAAATTTCTTACTGCCTCGAGTAGCAGTGGCTGTGTCAATGAATATATTCATGGTGGAGTAAGGCAGATTTGACTTGCATGGGAGCTGAGGGTTATGGTGGGTGGGTGTAAAAAAAAGTGAAGTTGAGACCACAATCAGAGCAAGCAAGAGCTTAATAAATGGCAGAATTGGCTTGAAGGGCTGAATAGTCTACCCTACTCCAATTTCTAAGGTTCTTATGCTCTAATGCAGATAAACATCCCTCATTATTAGAATGATTTAAAGTCACACTAAACAACATTTAAATGCATTTGAAAAGTTCTTTGTGATTTAAAACAACACCTGGTTAAAATGTCCCAAAAAACCTGATAGCCAGTGTGCATCATTTTATATTATGTTTAGTGAACCTCATCATCTTTGTCAAACATCATATGGAAGCAGCACTTGCAACAAAGGATGAATATCAACAGGAGAAATTAAAAGTGATTGCTGAATTGAAAGTGACCAATTACAAGTTTGCTCAAGACACCACTGTTGTAGATCGGATCTCAAACAGTGAAAGATAGAATACAGGAAATAGATTTAGTGCTTAGTGGTAAGGAGGTAAGGTCATTGAACAAGCAGCTGAGAATGGTTGAACCCAGGACATTATACTGAGGAAATCATACAGCACCGGGGCTGACAAAAATGGCTTTCAATAACCACCACTGATTCTATTTTTGTCAGATGGGACTCCAATCAATCAATTCCCATTGACTTCAAATTTGCTGGTTTCCTAGACCTCACACTCAGTCAAAAAATGCTTTAATGTTAAGGATGGTCACGTTCACATATCTTCTGGAATTCAGCACATTTATCCCTGTTTCCAACAAGGCTGTAATGAGGTCTGGAGCCCAGACATCCTGGCAGAACCTAAACTCAGCAGTGATAGCATGTTATGGCTAAGTCAATGCCACTTGACAGCTCTTTTCACGACAACTGCCATCAATTCTTTAGTGTAAACTAATTGGGAAACAGTAACTGGCTGAATTGAACTTGTCTGTTTTTGTGGACAGGACGTATTTGGGAAATTTGCCACTTGTTTCTTAGATGTCAGAGTTGTTACTGGAATTCTGGAAATCTGGAATAGAAACAGAAAATGACACAAGGCACTCAGTAGGTCAGGAGATAGAAACATATTTCAGGTTGATGATCCACCATCAGAACTTTCTGAAGCGTTATCTCCATGAAACAATTATTGTTTCTATCTCCATGGATGCTATCTAACGTGCTTCCTATTTTCTAGCATCTTCATGTTATATTTCTTATGCAAAATGTTGCTGATAACACTATGTATATGGTCAAGTACATTTTGTTTTTACACACTGCTAATTTCAGAATAAAATATGCCCAACAATAGTAAAGAACAAGGGCTTACCAGTAATGTACACCAGAGCATCCCATGGGACATTTCCTCCTTGACAATACAGATTCAAATTGAGAAGAGCACATTCTCGATCACTATCACTAAACTCATAGCAGATATTCCAGCCCAATGGACCAAACTTCTTCCTTTCCTGAAGCAAGACATCACAATATCATTCCATGCACAAGATAGGCAATTTACCAGAGTATCAATACATTTTATACCCAACTATTAAACCAGGTCACATCAATAAACAAACATCTAAGAGTCATGGTCATAGAGTCATACAGCATGGAAACAGACCCTTCGATCCAACAAGTCCACACCGACCATGCTGCCAAAGTAAACTAGTCCACTTGCCTGCGTTTGGTCCTTATTTCTCAATATACTTAAGCAAATGTCTTTTAAATGTTGTAACTGTACCTGCATCCACCACTTCCTCTAGCAGTTCATTCTATACTCTGACCACATTGTGTAAAAGCGTTGTCCCTCATGTTCTTTTTAAATTTTTCTCTTCTCACCTTAAAAATATGCCTCCTAGTTTTGAACTCCCCTAGCGTAGGAAAAAGACCTTTGCTATTCACCTGATCTCTGCTCTTCTTGATTTTATGAACTTCTGTAAGGTCACCCCTCAACCTCCTATGCTCCATTGAAAAAGACTTTACTATTAAATCATTTCAATGCAAAAATATCTTGGTTTTGAAACATGCTGAATTTCATTTTGAAATAAATTGAAACAAGCTAATTCACAGTAACAGCTTGATAATTTAACAAACCTTACCTGAATCACAGCATGGAAGAAACAAATGCCAAAGATTAGCTTTCTCCATTTCCTGCCCAAGGTATGCTCCTCAAAGAAGGAGGCTGTAATCTCCATGAAAGCTCGTCGAATGTTAGCACGCAGTCCCTTTGGAGGTTCATTTGTGACCTGAAGGAGAATATTAGCTGCTAGTTATTTTTGTTTCACTCTACATCAATGACTAATACTCACTCCAAATACACTTTGAATTCCGTCAAAGCTGTTTACATGCATAATCTATAATAATTTAAAACTTATGAGTTGTATCCTTTACTGGGGTTGTCAGTTTAGCTTATACTGTTAATGGTTCTCTCTTCTCAGGTACTGTCGGTAAGACCAAAACATATAGCAGTAGAAGTTGGCCATTCAGCCCATCTTGTTTGCTCCGCTTTAAAATTAGATCGTGGATGATCTGACAATCCTCAGCTCCACTTCCTTGCCTTTTCTCCATAACCCTTGATTCCTTAGCTGGTTAAAAAACTGTCACCTCAGCCTTGAATATACTTAAAGCAGCCTCCACAGCCCTCTGAATTCCAAGGATTCATAGAAACATAGAAGATAGGAGCAGGAGGAGTCCATTTGGCTCTTCTAGCCTACTCCGCTATTCTTCATGATCATGGCTGATCATCAAACTCAATAGCCTAATCCTGCTTTCTCCCCATAACCTTTGATCCCATTCAACCCAAGTGCTGTATCTAGTCAATGTTTTGGCATCAACTACTTCCTATGGTAATGAATTCCACAGGCTCACCACTCTTTGGGTGAAGAAATGTCTCCTCATTCCCATCCTAAATCATCTACCCCAAATCCTCATACTGTGCCCCCTGGTTCTGGACACACCCACCATTGGGAACATCCTCCCTGCACCTACCCTGTCCAGTCCTGTTAGAAATAAGTCTCTATGAGATCCTCCCCTCATTCGTCTGAACTCCAGCGAAAACAATGCCAACCTAGTCAATCTCTCCTCATTTGTCAGACCCACTATCCCCAGAATCAGCCTGGTGAACCTTTGCTGCAATCCCTCAGAGAAGAAATTTCTTCATATCTGTCTTCAAGGAGTGAGTCCTCACTCTAAGATTATGTCCTCTGATTTCAAGACTCTCTCAAAGGAAAAACCTTCTCAGCATCTACACTGTCAAGCCTATTAATAATTCTTTTGTTTTCATACAGTTGTCTCTCATCCTCCTAAACTCCAAAGAGTACAGGCCCAACCCACTCCACCTCTCCCCCTAAGAAAATCTTTACATTCCTGGGATCAGTATAGTGAACCTTCTCTGGGCTGCATCCGATGTCTATATATTTCCTTAAATAAGATAACTAAAACTGTTCACAGTAAATACTTTCCTCATTTATACTCCATTTCCTTTAAAATAAAGTCCAAAATTCTCTTTTGCCTTCCCTATTACCTTCTGAATTTGGATGCTAACTTTTTATTATTTATCCACGAGTACCCTCAAATACCTCCGTGCTGCAGCTTTCCACAGTCTTTCTCCTTGAAGCAATGCTCAGCTCCTCTATTCTTCCTCCCAAAGTGCATAACCTCATACTTTCCAAACTTATATTTCATCTGCCAAGTTTTTTCCACTCATTTAAGCTGTGTATCAATCTCTATAGTCTCTTTGTTATCCTCATCACTTCCCTTACTACCTATTTTTTTGTGTCATGTGGAAAATTGGTTATAGTACATTCACTTTCCTTACACAAGTCATTAATATAAATTGTAAATAACTGTGGTCACAGCACAATCCTTGCAGTGTAACACTAGTAACAGGTTGCCATCCTGTAAATGCATCCTTATTCCAACTTAGTTTAACAAAAGAAGACAATCTTCTATTTATGCTGATAGACTACCTCTAACACCAAAGCTCTTATCTTATTAAATTGACTTTTGTGTGGTGTCTTATTGAACACCTTGTAGAAATCTAAATGTATTACATTCACTATTTTCCCTTTATCAGCCTTGCTTGTTACCTCCTCAACAAAGAATTCTAATAAATTTGCCAGGCATGAATTTCCCCTACAAGAAGCCATGCTGATTCTGTTTGATTGTACAATGTTTTCTAAATGGTCTGCTGATATGTTCCTTATAACAGATTCTAATATGCTCCTAATGACAGACATTAGGCTGACTGACCTATAGTTACTTTTTATTTTCTTCACCCTGCCTTTTTGAATAAGGTTTTAACATTGGCAGTTTTTCAATCCTCTGGGACTCCTGGAATCTGAGGATCCTTGGAAGTTTATTACCAATGCATTCACTAACTCTTTCGCTGCTTCCTTTAATTTTCTATGATGCAACCCAGGAGGTTCAAGGGACTTATCAACCTTTAGCCCGATTAGATTCTCTCATGCATTTTCTCTAGTGAATGACTATTGTGTTTATTTCCTCTCCCCTTGATTACTTAATATGTTTGGAATGCCATTTTCTACTATGAAGACTGATGGAAATTGTTTATTTAACTCATCTGCTATTTTCTGGTTTCTTATTATCGTTTCACCAGTCCCATCCTCTCAGAGGCCTACATTCGCATTCACTTCTCTCTTCCTTTTCATACATTTAAAGAAGATCTTACTGCTCTTTTTTATATTGATTTGTAGTTTACCCTCAAAGTTTATTTTCTCTATTTTTGTTTCCCAATGCTCTGCTTTAGAACTAATCTTATTATACGTCCTTTTTGTTTCAATTTGATACTATCCTCATCTTCACTGGTTAGTTTATCTCCTTCATGGAACCTTCTTTCTCACCTGGATGTGTCTTGGCTGTGAGTCAAACTATTTTCGTAAAAATTGTCGTCACTCATGGTAAACTCCTTTGCCAGTCCACTCCAGCCAACTCAGCCCTCATCCTTTGTAATTATCATTAATTAAGTTTTGCACATTTGTTTCTGACATGAGTTCCTCCCTCTCAAAGAGGATGCTAAATGCTACCATGTTATGGTAACTGTTTCCTAGGTGACCTTTTATTCTGAGATTCTTGGTTGGATCAACACCATATCGTACTTGGGAACTGTCTGAAATACATTTTATGAATTCTCCCTCATGGCTACCTTTGCCAAATTAATTTTTCCATTCTGTTGATTGAAGTCACCCACTACTTGCCTTTTTTCTAAGTATGCCCTCACTATTTCCTGATTTATTTCCATTCCTATAGTATAGTTACTGTTGGGGGCAGCAATGTATTCCACCTCCTTGTTATTTCTTACATCAAGCCATGTGGTTTCTACATCATCTGATCCTAGAACATTTCTTGCTATCGTAGTTATTTCATCTCAAACTTCAAAAGTTTCGCCACCGCCCTTTCCTTTTTGCTTGTCCTTCTGAAAATTCATATACCCCTGAATATTTAATTCCCAGTTTTGATCTCCTTGTAATCACGTCTCTGTAACGGTTATAAGATCACACCCATTATCTTCCATTTATGCCATTAATTCTATTTTTTATTTCGCGGTGAATGCTACGTGCAGTAAAGAGTGATTTATTTTGCCTTTTTTTAACAATTTTTTTCACCTTTGACCCATTTGCCACTGATTTTTATCTTTGCACAATCTGTCCCTCCCTGCCAGTCTCTGTGTATTATTACCTAGGTAACTGCCCTGCAATGCTGCTTTGTAAAGCTGTGTATCCCCTCTTCAGACTGCCACTTCTATTTCATTCATCCCCTTCAATTCAGCCATTATCATTGTTCTTCTCAAAGAAACCAACCTTTCACTCCTCCATTCTTCCAAATTGCCACCTCATCTGTAACCTTCCTTAACTTCCTAAAGTAAATGAACCGATTGTTGTTTCCATGCCAATTCTCCATAAGTACATGTTTGAGTCCCTCCTCAGTAAGGTTCCCACCCCGTCATAGTACTAGCTCAGCCCATTTGATACGGCATCTTGCATTATCTTTCTCAAACTATTTGCAGATCCTCCTCCAACACCACTCTAACTTCATGCTGCTCAGTGGGATTACAGTGAATCAATTTGATTTTCATCTGTCCAGTCATAGCCACAGGACATCCTTCAATGTTTTCTGTTCCCACTCACTGTTACCTCTGATATATCCAAAGAATCTATCCTTCTGTTTCTCATCTACATGACAGTTTTCAGCAACATCAATTCACAGGTATACTAAAGACTCAATATTATCTTTTTCCTCCAATGTCTCTAAACTATCATCGTACTTGTCTGACATTCATCACTGGATGTGCAGAAATCTCCTCCAAGACCAAAGCGTTAATCTCTCTGACTGTCTACCCCTCAGTCCTCCTTTAAGACATTCCCTTAAGCATCCTTTTGTTAAATCAAGCTTTTGGTCATCTGTCCAAATATTTCCTTATGTAGCTCAGTGTCAAATGCTATTTGAAAATGATTCTGTGAAGAGACTTGGGAATATTTTACTAGACTGAAAGCACAATATAAAAACAATTTGCTATTTTGTTGTTAATTCTACATGACTCATACTATTTTCATAATTTATTTGTGGTGAGATGCCCCATCTAGTGGTCCAAGTGAAGTTTGAGCCACATGCTGGTCAATTCAATGGAAATTAAGACATTAAGTTGAGTTGATTACAGCATTTTCATTCACTATTGCCACAGCAAATAAAATGATGGGCTTGAGGCAAGTCTATGTTTTCTATTGCCGTAGAAGATCAAAATCTTTTAATCTAATAAGGCAACCTTGCTTTGTGCCACAAATTTATATTACGTTCTATAATATGCCATGCCTAGACTTGGAATAACATTTTTTCACACAGCAGTTGATTATGATCCGGAATACAGTGCTTTGATGGGTCAAATTAACCATCTAATGCTTTTCTAGGGAAAAATGCACCTTGCAAATTTCAGAATGTATTACCTTGACTGAGTTTTGCAAAACTGTAACAGGAAAGGTGGTGGTAGGCATGGAGCTTAGGAACAGCCTGAAGTTGTCATGAATAACAGCATCTGGAAAAATACATATTTTTCAATGATATACAAATATCTATTTTTGCAAACAATAAGAAAGATAACAACGTCTTATAGTTATACAAGCACAATATCTGGTAAAGAGATGGAGAATAAACATTTCAGAGATCATCTACTCTCATGAACTATGTTCTGACTTTTGTATATTAATTTATAAACAACACAAAGTCTTCACATACAGGGGAAGTTCAAACAAAAATAAAACCCTGCTGCAAAATCTAAGGAAACAAATCACTGCTGACAGTGCCAAATTTTAGGTCCTTACCCCACTGCTTGGAAAGCAGAGGGGTCATCATGCAATGCCAGCAAACCCTCAGAAGCTACCCTCCCAATTTGGTAAACTAGTGGGTGCTACCAATGTGTGTGAGTGGCATCTTACAAATGACTCTGGAGCTCCATAAGGAGTGAGCCAGCAGTCCTTGAACTTGGCAGTCTTTCACAGCGAACAGGTGTCCTTGGCTGTAGGAACACTGCAGAGTGGGGATTTTGGCACCTGAGGTAAGGCAAAGCAGGGATGCTGTGAGCAGCAAAGTTGGCAAAATGTGAGCATTAAGAGATTTAGCAAACAGCCCTGAGATGTAATCCTTGAAATTGGTGCCTGTCCCTGACTGCAAAGTGTTCTTGTAGCAGCATTATAATGAAAGGTCCCAGTGCACTCAAAAATGTAGCATTGAAATGCATAGCCATATTGTAAATGGATCAGAGATATGCCATGAGGGTGCAATGAGGCTGGTAGAGTCTGACGACAACTTCCATGGATGTAGAACGTATGTGGGCACTACCCATGAAGCACGCCTTGAGATGTGAGTGACTGGTGTCCAAGAAGGTCGTCTGGAGGACCAAGTGGCAAGCTAGAGATGCCAGGTAACCACTCTGACTTTCACATTGGGAATTGCTGCCATCTACTTTCTGTATGGGAGAATGGAAAACTGTGGATAAATGAGTGAGATTAACTAATAATGAATTGTTAATTCATGAAAATAGGCTTGTCTCTCATTAATATCACTCATCATTCAATATGAATCTAACTGACTAGTATTAATATCAAAAATTGCCTCACTGCCAAGCTCATGCAATTTTCCAAGCTTTGTCATCAAAGCCACATCATTCTGTGCCTTGGAGAGTTCCACACACAGTTCTTAAAAGTAATTACGTGAAGAAAGCAGGAAATGTTGCAAGGATTTAGACAATTTCAAGATTGAAGATGGTTTGCCATGCAACTCTGAGAACTGAAAAGTCAAAAGGCTAAAGTCCATGGTCGTACTCATGTTGTTTGCCAAAACTCAGATGAAGTTGTGAAAGCAAATCAAGTTTTTAAGACAGATAAGAGAGTGTTTTATGGCTTTAGCCGCTAGACAACCTTGGTTTCCAAGAAATGGAGCCTACGTTGTGAAGCAACATGCTTCTGGAGTCAGTTCCTGTCTTTCCAGTAACACTTGGATCCGTCCATGGAAAAAGAGACCTCTGAAAGTTTGCAGTAGAAAGCTAAACATTTCTCCTGAAAAGAAGAACAACCTCAAAGTTGAAAAGATTTCTCTCAGCTGAAATATGATGGCAGCCTAATTGTATCAAATATCAGGATTTCAGTTTGGGTTCTGCCAGGACCACTCAGCTCTCTACCTCATTATGGACTTGGTCCAGACATGGACAAAAGAGCTGAACTCCAGAGGTGAGGTCAGAGTGACTGCCCTTGAAATCAAGGCTGCATTTGTCACGATACAATATGAATAACCTCTAGCAAAATTGAATTCAATGGGAATAGGGGAGAAAACTCTCCACTGGTTAGAGTCATACCTAACACAGAGGAAGATGGTTGTGGTTGTTGGAATTTAATCATCTCAGCTCCAGGACATTTCTGCTGGAGTTCAAGTGAGTGTCTTAGACTCAACTATCTTCAGCTGCTTCATCAATGACCTTCCCTCCATCATGGAGGTCAAAAGTTGGTATACATTTGCTGAAGATTGTGCAATGTTCAACACCATTTGTGATTGTTCAGATACTAAAGCAGTTTATGCCCATATGCAGCAAGCAAATTCTGAGTGAACAATATCCAAACTTGGGTTAATAAGGAGAATGTTACATTCATACCTCGTTCCAGGCAATGACCATTTCCAACAAGATAGAATTAAACTATTGCACCTTGTCATTCTTTTTCATTAGCATCACTGCATCTCCCTCTACAAAAATCCTAGGAAAGTCAATATTAACCAGAAACTGAACTGGACAAGTCATAAAAATACTATGACTACACCAGTAGGTCAGAGACTAAGAGTTTTGTGGTGAGCAACTCAGTTCATGCCTGCAGTTCCTGTTTTTGTTCCTGTCCACCATCTATAAAGGCACAGCTTAGGAGTCTGATGGAATACTCTATTTGCCTGGATGGGTTCAGCTTTAACAACACTCAAGAAGCTCAACACCATCCAGCACAAAGCAGCCCATTTGAATGGCACACCACCCTCCACCCTCAATATTCACTCCATTCACCACCAGTACACAGTAGCAGCCACGTATACCATCTACAATATGGACTGCAGTAACTCACAATGAGTCATTTAACAGCACCTTCCAGGCCTTTGAATTCTACAACCTAGAAAGACAGATGCATGGAAAGATCATAACCTTGAAGTTACCCTTCAAGCCATACATCATCCTCACTTTGAACCACATCGCAAGGTCTGAATCCCAGAACTCCCTTCCTAACAAAGCTGTGGATGACTCTGTACACCAGCGACAACAGTGGTTCAGCAGGGCAAATCATCATCATCTTCTACTAGGCAATTATGGATAGGCAATAAACGTTGGCTGATCCAGTAGCACACATATTCCCCGCGCAAATAAAAAAAGCAGACTTGATACTTAAAAACACTCATTCAAAACTTTTAATTTTCAAATCATTAAGCTCATAGCAAACCTCTATTTAGATACACTATTAAAAGGCAGCTATCTACTTAAGATCATTTTTAGTTAGTCAATCTGAGCCTCTAGATAAGATAATTACACTTCTTGAAACTCAGCCAAACATTCACAATGAAATAATAAAAGCCCTTGGGGAATTGTCAACAAACAAGTCTACTGCAATTGCCCCACTTGATCCTACAGTCTCATTCAAACCTGGCCTGTCAATGCAACAGAGATTTTTTTAAACTCTTAATTAAGCAGCAGTTTTCTCTAAGTTTAAAAATTGAGGCATTTTTAAAAAAAATCAGATCATGACAGTGACACAGATTGTATTTATCCTTCTGTTGTGATAATATCTACATCATCAACTCCTAAGTCTTTTACTGTTAGTGTTAAGACCCTCAGACTAGTCAAAATGGGATTCATTTGAATTCAACATTCAGTTCAAATGGTTCTGCTAAGATTGGCTTTCCCACCTGAATGAAACACACCTGGTCCCCTTTCTTTTACTGTCCAAAAATGATTCTGTCTTCATGAAAAACTGACCCTAAGCAACTTTCAATGAATATTACTTTTTAATTAATGGTTGCTATAATCATAAAACGTGGCTCAGTTGTCTGGATGACTGAGTTGCAATGCAAACTAATGTTAACAGCGTGGGTTTAATTCTTGCACTGGCTGAGGTTACCATGGAGAATGCTCCCTTTCCCCTCACCTGAGGCAAGGTGACCCTCACCAGTCATCTCTCGCTCTCCAGAGCGACTCTATGATTCTACGGGACTATGATGACTTTACTATAAATATAACATGCTACTCATGCACTTCATACACTTATTTTGAAATGTCTTTTGTTCAAAAATAAAAATGCTGTGAAACTTTTACTTTAGAAAGAATTCAAAGACCTCCACCTTAATAGTTTAACCAGCATTTGAGCAACATATAAAAACAGCTGCTACTTCCAGGTAATTGGATTTGGGCACTGTGAATCAAATGGATGTCCTAGAATATCATCCTCTTTGCATATTTTCAGACATTGGCACTTTGAGAATTACAGTCACTATTTTACAAACAAAACTTCCTTTTCAGTTATTTTGTATTAAATTCTCATATCATATGAGTGCAAATATTCAGAATAGCACAAAACACAGCCAACTCTTACCAATTTTTATGGGTGCACCATAGAAAGCATCCTATCCAGATGCATCACAACTGCTCTGCCCAAGACTGCAAGAAATTAGAGTTGTCATAGTGGCCCAGCCCATCAAGAGAACAAGCCTTCCTTCCATTGACTCCACCCCTACTTCCCACTGCCTCGGGAATGCAGCCAACATAATCTCTTCCATTCTCTTCCGTCAGGCAGAAGATATAAAAGGAGTTATAAAAGTACCCTCCCACCCCAGTTAAACTCTCTTCCATCGGGCAGAAGATATAAAAGTTTGAATACACATATGAGTAGATTCAAGAACATCTTCATCCCCGCTGTTAGACTTTTGAACAGATGTCTCAAATGTTAATTCTGATCTCTCTCTCTCCACCTTCTCTGCAGCTGTAACATATATTCTGGACTCTGTTCTGCAATCCTAATGGACTTTGTATGATACAATCTGCCTGTATAGCATGCAAAACAGCACTTTTCACTGTGTCTTGGTACATGTGACAACAATCAATCTATCAATTCTGCTGTCTGACAGCTTGGAAGCATGAATAAGAAGGCCAGAGCACACACCTGGCAAATTCAAATAGCTACTTGTTCCAAATGACTTCCACGGTGGACAAAGGGTTACAACATCTCAAAGTATGATCCATGGCAATCTGCCCATGTACCTCTCCTACACAGACATTGACAACCAGCATCTATAACACTATATTCTGCATTCAGTTGTATTACCCTGGTTTACCTATGTAAAGTATGATTTGTCTAGATAGCGTGCAAAACTACGCTTTTCACTGTTTCTTAGTACATGCGCAAATAATAAATCAAATCATTTCCATGGAATATTTTCTCCAATACTTCATTACATTTTACTACTCTTATTATATCTTTTTTTCTTAAAGATTTAATAACACCAAGGAATGTCAAGAATTTCAAATAATTGTGATGCTAGGTTACATCCTTGAGCACATAAATAAATGATCTGCAGTTACAGTTAATCACATGACCTTATTTTTAACACCAATGACAATGCAACTGTTCGTTATCGACATATAAAGAAAATAGATAAACATTCTGAGACAAAACCATTTAGCTTGGACATTTAACCCATATAACCTAGTCCATCGATGGATTTCACGCATGGAGATAATTTTACCTTTACTTACTTGGCTCTGTGAATGACTTTACTAACTCCTCCATTGTTAACATCCAGGAAACTGCAAGATGACAATTTTGAAGAAATATCCAGTTTCCTGTCTTTATAGCTTCTTTAATCAGTTTTTCAGCAATAGGCCCTTGTCCTTGTCCCAGAGAAATAGACTCTACCCTACAGTATCAAAGCAAGTAAAAAAAGTGAATACAAATTAGTCAGAAGAGATATGTTGGAAAGACATTTACATTTGTGGACTTTGTGAAAAACTGAAAGATACTGAATTCTCTGTTCACTTTCTGGGTTAAAAAAGTTATTTTTAAAACCATGAATTTGGAGCAAATCTATGGGGTTTCTTTGAAATTAAATCAACCGTTTAATATTGGGTCTTTGATCTACCTACTGAATACAGAAAGTCACCTGACTTTCGGAAAATAGCCAAGCTAGCTTTTAAGGTGGTAAGTGATAGGATTATGGCCCCTAATTGCTGGAAAACCCAGATTTGGAACAACCTATGGAGGGGTGCCCTTTGTTTATGCAGCCCATTGGCCTTTTGTGGGCTTTATGTCTGTTTCACAAACATAGGTGGTCATAGCAAAAAAGCCTCCAAAGCTGCTGTAAGACTTTAAGACTCTCTGTTCCTCTCTTGTGAGCAATTAAAACTGCGTCAGAGTCCAAATAATGCCTGAAAGTACCATTACAACGGTAGCCAGTGAGTTTGAGCACAATTGGAGGCATTTGACCACCATCTGGCCATCTAGTTGCCCCTTCCTATTATGCTGGCAAGGTTAAAATCAATCTTTACATATGTCCACTTTTCTTATAAAACGTACTTGTCTTTTTCTAATTGTAAGAAATAGCCTACAATTTGTCACTCATTTGCTCCCCCAGGAAAGCCACAATTTTCAGTGTCCAAAGCTAACGCAATTACATAGGTGCATTCCGTAGCCGTTACATTGACAAACTCAGAAATCACTGTTTTATGGGCCCAACATGAATTGAAACCCAAAGGCATGATATGGCCTGTGACAGGAGATCTGTGCTAGATTTTTTGCTTCACTACCACAGAAAGCTATACTTTGTTCATCTGGTGCGACCTCATACTAGAACAGTATTAACGACATTGCCTTTCAGAGACCACTAAATATTCCTGGCAAGAACATTAATGTTGCTATCCAGGCAGGTCTGAAGTAATATTATATTAATGGGGTTGAAAATCACTTCGGCTGAATCTGCAATTTGAAGCCCCTGAAGACAAGGACATGCAGTTGCATTGTCATTAGTGTTAAAATAGGGTCATGTGATTAACTGTAACTGCAGATCATTTATTTATGTGCTCAAAGATGTTACCTAGCATCACAATTATTTTTTGTATAAAACCCATCTACACAGGGACTAAAAGAGATGACTGAGGTTTTAGGTGACAAGAACCTGGGCAATGCCAGGCAGATGAAGGTATTTTTTGTTGCAACAGCAGATGATTGCCAGAATACCCTTCTAGTGGTATTCTGAGTGCTCAGTTGCCTCGTGCAAAGCTCTGTTTTGACTAATCCTTTGAACTCTAACACTGATGCCATTGTAGGCTGGTGTAAGCACCATCATCAAGGTCATCAATGTTTCCAGACCATTCCCTTCACCAACAAGCACTGACTATTTGTAGAAAAGGGAAACTTATATTTTGGCCAACGAAACATGGAACTCACCTGTCAGAGTAGTCCCTTTCTTTTGCAAATCTCAGAAAGGCTCCCATCGGATCTGAACCAGTACTTAATATGAAAACGAGGGGAACGTTATTTGACATGTCCTGATAAAGTGTAGCTAAATCCACAGGAGGGTTCTCCACAAACTCCTGTCCAAGAGTTTCTATGACAAAATCTGTGATTGCAAATACTACCTAGAAAAAGTGCAAGAAACAATCCAATTATTAACATGCCTTAAACTATTTTCTACCTGCAGGAGATTTTCTTCCAACTTCCCTGGGTTTTGAGACAGTGAGGTAGAAATGCTTTGAGCATGTTTTGTATGGGAATGCAGGGAGACTTCCAAGTAAGTTGCTGATACCAGTTTGAAGATTATGGCAATGCCAGACATATCACTCTTGCCTACCACGATTCACCCCCTCCCCACCCCAGGACAATGCAGAAAGAAATCTCATGACTCCACAAAGATAGTTAGGTTAAGTTTCCTCACATTTATCCCGTCTATAGTTAACCTTGTGTCAACAGTTGTCCCAGCATCATGTTGAAATGGCGATTTACAAAATCAGATTGGGTGATTACTTTGTTGTACAGCTCTGTTCAGTTTTCAATTGTAACCCAAAGCCTCCAGTTAAATACCACCTCAATTCTCTATCTGACTCCTGTTGTGACTTCTCCAGCCTTAGCATCAATCCAATTCCAATGATGTTTCAGCAACACCATCTCATTGTTCCACAAGGCACTTTGCAGACTTCCAGCCACAACAAATTTAACCACTTTAAGACTTTAATTACGGCTCCTATTCTGTCTTATTTCCACCTCCACTGAGCTCAATTAATTGTTCCAGGTTTGTCTCATTTGTACCTCCCCTTGTTTGCTACCATGGTGTCTTTTGTCATTTAACCACATCTGGCATTTGCACTATTACATACTTTTTTTTTTCCCCTCAACTACCTCCCATCCCTTTTCAAATCTCCACATTTGTTTAACTTGTGTTTATCAGTGTAAATCACGAGCTACAATTTTTCTGGCATGCCTTGGATCACATAGTGAGGACCAAATATGGATCGCGAGTCTGCTCGGACAAGCAGCAGAACTATGGCCTGTATCGGAGGTTGTCAAATGAGATGCTGTTGCTAGGATTACTGCCCAATTAAGGAAAGCAGCCTCCCTCTTTGTGCTGATAGCCCAGAGTGAAAATCCCGGCATCATGGTAAAATGGCCTTCAAAAGGTCAAATAATTGGATTAATTGGCCGTCTGCCTCCTGTTGGCAAAGAACTGAGGTGCTATTGATCCTACCTTTAGAAATATACTAAGGATTTGGGAAGATCTTAGCCAGTGTTTTCTTCTCTGAAGCTAAGTGTCCTGGGGAGCCTGAAAAGCAGGAGTGACATTCACTCAGCAGCAGGTTTTCTTGCACAATTGTATTCTTCTCAGCTCTTTCTAAAATGGGAAGAGGCCCTTAGGTGGTCATGAACTTGCCACTTAATTGGGACCAGGGCCTCCCCACAGAACTGAGGTCAGGCTAGGAGACGTGTAGGAATGCCCCCTAAAGAATTCTACAGGCTCCTGTCTGCCAAACCACTAGCAGGAGTCCCATTAAAATCTGCCCATGGACTTGTGGAAAAGTATTACGAAACTGCCACACATGGTTGAATTTTACTCTCGGTTTTGGGACTCTGAAATCAGACTGAAGAGCAGATTCCCACTTCCGCACTTGTAGGCAGCAGGAACAGCTGGGTGGTTTTATTGCCTCCTAGTTGCCAGCTTGTGGGCTCAATGTGCTGCTGCTGCCAGGCCCTTTTTGGAAGGCTGCAGTCCTCCCAAAGCCTCACAGCACCAATGGAAGAGATGGAAGCTACTGAAGCAGGTAAGCGAAGGAGTGAGTTTTGCACAAACACACCTCAGCATGCACAGGGAGTGAGCAAACTCTGAACATGGGCTACTCAGACAGGCAAGAACAAGGAATAGGATGACTCTGACTAAATATAGATTATTGTATCAATCATATTGTACAAATTTGTGTGTAACATCTTGTGCAATTGGTGGTTGATGCAAGGATTGTAGCCTTTTGTATCTTGACACAATAACATGTGCTGTAACTGTTGCTCTGGGGGGTCAGAGAAGAGACATTTCTCTGTCCTTCAGCTCCCCTGCACATGCTTGAATAAAGGAGATCAGTAAAACATAGGTCAAGTGTCCGGACTCAGCTATTCCTCCCTCTGCTCAATACAAGAAATTTCAGGGGTATCTCAAGGTGGATACGCCCACGACAGTTGTGTAATAATGAAAACACATTAGGAGCTAACGGCAGTAGACCCCTTGGGGAAGATGGAGAAACCTTTCAGTGTGAACAGGACTTTGGGGCAACTTCCATTCGGATGAGCCCTGGCTTACAGCAAATTGGCATCTGCCTTGAAGTTGTGGCATCCCTGAACAGTGGGAGTAGTTCACAACCATAAAAATGGCCCAGGTAAATGGTCTGTAATTTAATCAAATTGGCTGCTTGTCTCCATGTAGCAGGTAGCCAGCCCATCTCGCAGCACGTTACTGAGAATCAGCCTTCACCTGGGGTCTGGTAAAATCCAGCTTATTGTTTTTATTAAGAATTAAGTCCATCAAAAGTAAAGGTGAAGTAGCCATATCAATTTAATAATATACCTTTTCTTCCCAAAATGATTTAATTAAAATGAGTTTCTGAAATAACGTCAGTCTTTCATTCCAGTGCCCAGTGACAACATATTCTTGGTCTTCAGCCTCAGCTGGTTTTGGTGAATATAGAGGTAACTCTGTTATGTATCCATCCCAAGTTGGTGGGTTGATACCAACGTCAAGACGTCCTGTAAAAGTGGTTGCAAAATGTTATCAAATTTTCTGCCCTCGCGTCTCGAGTACAAACACTGACTATTTGTCTTCAGCCGCTGACAAAACTACCAAGCACCTTGTGCTGTAAGCTGCAGGATGTTTCTCAATCTCTCATGTCAGAGCTGGGAGTTGTGATGAATAAAGGATTCAAAATTCAAATATTTTTTAAATAATATGCTAAGTATAGAGTTACTAAATACTTAACTGTGTCAAGTGCTAAGAACTCAATATCACAATGAAAGCACATCTAGTTACTAATCATCCTGAGTTCCAGTCAGTGTAAAACAAACGTGGCGACCTCCTGAGGGTGATGTAATCCTTGAGTGAGTAAACAGCATTCATAGACTGTAAGCAGTGATGTAACTGCACTACACAGAAGCAGTGAAAGAACAAAAGACTGTCAGAAGCACAGAACAAGGGTTTAAGTTCCTGCCTTAGAGCTAAGGTTGGCCAGCGGCTGCCTAATGATTAATAAGTGATGTTAGCAGCAACCGTATGTAGACCTGTACCATCTTTATGGAAACTAGAATAATTGCTTTGATATTTACCTAATTTGACCTGTACGTGAGTCGCAATAACTTCCTCGGTGATGCCCCTGAAGCATGGTAAATTGTCTTCAAGGTCACAGCATGTATGCCACACTGCAGTTCTCAACCAAGGAGCCATTGGTTTTGGAGGCCGCTCCTAGAAATCAAGGAAAAGTGAGATTCAGCATTGTTATTGTAATTCCAATTAAATAATCCTTTGTTGAGAATTAATTTGGTGCAATGGCATGTCAGCCTTGAAGAAAATTGAAAATAATCAGACTGCTGTACTCATCATTCTGCTGGGGTAAAAACCTTGCATAATTCAGCAATTTATCTGGATGTTCTGAGTTGGAACATTGCACGGTATTTAATGTCAGTGGAAATATCATGAGCTACAACTAGGGTTTGTAAAAAAGACCGCTCCCTCTGATGGCCTCTCACTACTTTTCTTAAGGAAAACTTAGTCTCTTATGACCAGAAACTTTGCTTTTTAAATTAGGCACTTGAGAAAGTGAGGATGTACAGTTTAACAATGACTATGCTAAACTTGCAAAACTCCTTCAAAATATTGGATATAACCACACCTCTTCAATTTGTCTGAAAAATGATTATCTAAAGCTCTTCAATTCAATGCATAATATACCTGGCACAGCAAATACATACATATTTCTAAACTGTAATATTAAATATCAGTACATGAATGGAATGCAATTGCAGGCTTATCCTAAGCCTGAAGCAAATAGAAATTACGCTCAGACAACCCCAACAAATCAACATCACCATAAGTTGAATGAAAAATACAGGTCACCCTTGACTGTGAGCTCAGCATCAAACATGAGGAACATGAGGAACATACGACCCATCCAGTTGATCCTTCAAATTAGCATTCATCAACATCTGGAGACTCCTGACAAAATTGAGGGAGCTGACCCACCAACTAGTCAAGCAACATTCTAATACAATCATAATCACAGAATCATACCCTTTAGCCAATAGCCAAGATCCCTCTAGCACCATTCTTGGGACATTTCACATTTTCGGAAGGTCAGACTCAACAAAGGTCAAGATAGAGTGGTACACAGCTCGGTGGAAGGGATTCCAGGGAGTCTTCAACACATTTTTGGCTCCCCCTTGCCCGCCCCATCACCATGAAATCACAAGCAAGGAAACCTTCTTCTCATTACCAATAATCCTCGCTCAGCAACTGATGAATCAATGCTCTTCCTCGTGGAGGGAGCAGAAGAGTAACTTGAACACAGTATTGACTCTTGAACAGGGTCTTCATCACTAAATGTGAAACTTCCATGATACTACTATTGACTCAACATGCTGAATCCTAAATCCTGATTGAAATAGCAGCCTTAAAATGCAATTCATTGGATAATGATGCAGTCCATACTGGTTCCTTGCTTGAGCTACTCAGTGGCAAAAAAATTCACACCTCAAAAGTAATAAGCTATTACCATAGCCTAAGTGCTACCACTCAACAATTAACTGAACTGCCATTGTTGAGATTCAACCTGCCATTACAGCAGCTTGGAGTCATCACTGATTGGAAATGCATATCAACTAATCACAAAAATACTGTGCTTACTGGAGCAGAAAGAAACTGGGAATTCTGTAGCATATTACTTCATAGACTCTTAAAAGCCTCTCATTTCCTACAAGGTACAAACTGGGAGTGTGATGGCATACTCTCCACTTTTCTGAACAGGTATTAATGCAACAACAATTTAGGAACTCAACACCATTCCAGTTTGCTAAATCACCACTTCATCCAACAATTTAGTTGTTTATCTCCTCCTTCATTGGCAAATCATAGCTGCAGTGTAAACATGAGAACATATCAAAGAGATACAAAAGTAAACCATATGGCCTATCAAACCTTCTCTACCTTTCATACAAACATGGCTGATTTTGGGGTTCATCTACACTTTCTTGCTGGTTCCCTACATCCTGTGATTCCAACAGCCTTAAATATATTTAATGATGGCACATCCAGAAACCTCGGACACAGAATCACAAAAAATTCACGTTGATTTGAATGAATCAGTCCTGAATGATCAGCCTTTTATCTCATGTCCCCTTATGCTGGATTCGCCAGCGAGGCAAATCAACATCTGTGAAGCTTGTTCATAATCGTGAACATTCTAGTAACACATCATCCCATTCTTCTGAACTTTAAAGAACATGGGGAGATGATGGAGCAGTGGTACAGTCAATGGACTAGTAACATAGAAGCACAGGCTAGTTTTCCAGCCCATGGGCTCAAATTCCGCCACTGCAGTTGTATCAGCAAGCAACTTCAATCATTCCCAATCTGTGATTGGGCAGAAAGCTGCTACCATTGATTGCTATGTCTGGGTCTAGTGGGCCTATTAGATGTCTAGTGGTAGAGGAGAACCACATATGCATGAGAAGATGCACTTGTCTTAAACAAAATTTTACTTTTTGCATGGTAGTAATCAGGTACGAGATGTATTAGTAACATAGACATTGTTACAAAGATGATGAGAAGATCTAGATTATATGGGTCTGTCTCCTTTGAGATCCAGAGCTGCTCTGCTTTTCCCCACCTGTCGTCATGAGATCATCTGTTTGAGTGGAGTTTAATGCAGTTTTTAACAATAACCCTTTCAGAACCATTGTCTTACACAAGGGAATTTGAAATTCAATTCATAAATCTGGAACATAACGCTATTCTCTGTAATGGTGACAAATCATCAAATGCTGTTAAAAGAAAATAACTGGCCACCTTATCCTATTTTCTTTCTTTTTACTGAAATCTCCAGCTCACACGTTATGTGATGAATTGGTCCTGCTCTGAGTTGCCACTCATCTGTCTCTGCTATGACTTTTCATTAACAAATACTTCTTGTCGCATCTCCCCTATCCAGCTCCAACAGAAGTCTTAGGTCCATGTGGAGTAGGGCATGGGGAGAACAGCCTTACAGAGAATGCACCATCACACAATTTGATGTTTGCAGCCATCAGCTAATATCCACACTATTCCTGTACGGTTCAGAGGATTACTTAAAGGAATAAAAGAGCTTTAATTGCTGATATTGTTGAACATTTTGAGGAGCACCTCACTAAAGCAGTGCACAGAAAGCATCTGACTCAGCATATCTATCTCAACAGTGTCAAATTGGAGATCAATGGCATTGATGGTGCACTGTAGTTCTTCATAGAACAGGTGGCACTTTTATAGTCAAGGACCCCTTATCAAGACCGAGGTCATTTTTGATTTTGGTGTAGGTGAAATATTGATGGTTGCACATAAGCGTCAACTGCCAAATTTTCATCCATCCATAAACAGAAGGCAACCCAGTTAACACTTGCCATGCATTGGGTCTTTGCCATACTTAAAGATCTGACTGCTGCAGTAGAATATAGGGTAGTTTCCACCACTCCCATAGCCATACTACATGATGCAACGATTAAAGTATTTTCAGTCTTTTAAGAGTGCTTTAGTGATGCATCAAAATGTTGGCCACCATTGAATTCACCAACAGCAGTTGCCATTTCTGCCCGTATAAAAGATTAATGATCACACTTCAGCAAGGCACGAATCAGATATTTTTAAGTTCCCAGTGAAGTTTCTTAATTCATTTGTGCAGGGTTTGGAAGATGGACAAAAAGCTTGCTATACATTTTTTAAATAACATTTCATTGCTCATATCTAATATAATGCTAAAGCTAGTGAAAAGAACAAATATAAATTAAGAAATTATTCTCAGCATTAAATAGAAAAACTTTTAGATACACATACAAACATTCACACTGTAATAATTGATCATATGTCAAAGGCTCAAGCTTTGAGCAAAATGTAGTTGACTCAGCATTTCATTGGGGATTCCCATTGCTGACTTTGTATATGGCTTCATAAAGCTGAGTTTATAAAGCATACCTTATCCAAGCTTACAGACCCTCTAAGGAAGAAGTTCCATTCAGCATCTGAGATTTCTTCATTTTGGCGCAGAATATCAGTACACAGCAAAAAACTGTATATAAGTTTGTGTTTTTCAAAGAGACCTCTGGAAACATTGGTGTAAACAGTGAAAAGTGTTGCATCTAACAAAATCTTCAGACGTTTCTGCAGGTTATAGGTCTTGTCAGATGTCTCGATGGTTTGATTAAAGAGCTACCAAAAGAAAAATCACACAGTAAATAACAATTCCTCACCAATGCAGTCTATTGGAATATTTGATACTTGTTTTAAAGCAGCAACCACAAACTGGAACTTCATGTCCCAGCATATACCTCACTCTACTGTTATCATCAAGCCAATGGACTAACTCTGGTTTAAAGAAGAGTACAGAAGGGCATTCCAGCACCAGCACAAGGCATACCTAAAAAATACCTCAGTCATCAACCTAGTGAAACTACAACAAGGGACTATTTGAATGCCAGACAGTAGGAGCAATATGCAACTGACAGAGCTAAGCAATGGTTGTAATTTAAACTCTGCAGATCTGCCTTATCTAGTCAAGAACGGTTCCAGTCAACTAAGCAACTGACAGAGGAAGAGGTTGCACCAGTATCCCTATATTCAATAATGGAGATATTCAGTACATCAGTGCAAAAGACAAGGCTGAAACAATGGCAACCATCTTCAGCCCAGATGTGTTGAGTGGAAGAATCATCTTGGTCACCTCCTGAGACCCTCAGTATCAGATGCCAGCTACCTAAGCAGCAGTCCTCATCCAGTAGGCCGTATTGGACAATCATAGTACATGGCAGTCCTCACCAGGGAGGTGTCTTCTTCAGATGGACAATGAACCAGAAGAGATTGAGCAAATACACAAGGAAGAATTCCCTGTCACTTTAGCTAGACAGCAGAAAGTTGCCTTCATGACTTGAGTGAGGTTGACACATTCCATGTCAATGGCTTATTTTACCTCTGCTATCAGGAAACCATATTCAATCGTAATGGATTGTATTTTTTTTTGATTAATTAACTAGTGCAGCATATCCAAATGACAAATTTAACAAATCAGCTGAAAATTCCTCAAGAATGGTACTTTGCCTACATTAGGTAACTGTGGTCACAAACACTAAATATCTAATACTGTCCACATCTACAAGGCACAAGTCACAGGTACCTTCAGTTGCCTCATTGAATTCAGCTCCAACAACTCAAGAATTCAAGAAACCCAACTCTATCTAAGACCAAGCAGTCCCTCTGTTTGGCATCATATCCATCAATTTTGACATTTACTCCCTGCATGCAGACACACTATGGCAGCACTTTGTACCATCCACAACATGCTTTGCAGCATCTCACCAAGGCTCCTTCAACAGTATCTTCAAAGCTTGTGAACTCTACTACATAGAAGCACAACAGCAACAGACACAGGGAACCACTACCGCTTGTAGATTCCTGTTCAAGCCACACACCATCCTGAATTGGAACAATATTGATGCCCCTTTACTGTCAACTGGGTCACAATCCTAGAATTCCCTTCTTAACAGCACTGTGCTAACCACACCGCATGCCACATGCACTGTAGCAATTCAAGAAGCAGCTCACTACCACCCTCTCAAGGACAAATAGGGATGGAAGCAGGCCATTCAGCCCATTCAGTCCACACTGACCCTCTGAAGAGCATCCCAACCATACTGACGCACCAACCCTATCCCTGTAATCCTGCATTTCCCATGGCTAAATCACCTAGCTTGCACATCCCTGGACACTATGGGCAATTTAACATGGCCAATCCACCTAACCTGCACATATTTGGACTGAGAGGGGAAACTGGAGCACCACCCTGGGGAAATCCATTCAGACACTGGGAGAATGTGCAAACTTCACATGGATAGTTACCCGAGGGTGTAATTGAACCTGGGTCCCCAGCGTTGTGAGGCAACAGTGCTAACCTCTCCAGAGTGGAATGCTTGGAACTCAGCCTTTTATAGATTTTGAATTTTTGAGATTAGACAATGGTAATGAGATATTAACCCAGGTGTTTGAAGTAGAAAACATGGCAGATATAAGTATTTACCTGAAGCATAAAACAGTGATAAAACATTATTAAGGACTAATAAAATATATGTTTTGGATCTAAATACTAAATACTTCCATGTTTCCAGTTCATAAATCACCAATGACAAGAGTGGTATTGCATTGTTGAAAATAAAGGATGAACAACAGATGTTTCAATAGATTTCCAGAGGTTGTGATGTACTTCGTTAGTATTAAGTAATGAAAATGTCAAACCTGCTTGAAGTATTTTAAAGAAAATTGGTACATTGGGTCTATTTCAGACAAGCTAGCAACAACAAAATACATGACGGATCCACGAGTAGCCACAGGGCGATATTTCTCACGAGCAGAATTAATTTTCTGTTCTGTGGCTTCAGCCTCCTCCAACCGAACTTTTATAGCAGCTGAGGTAACCTGTATAAAAGCAAAATAAATTTAATTTCCTGGAAGAGTAATACATAACATTTTCAATTATTACATTCATATTTCTTCTATGATGTTACCTCAGTTCCAGAATTTCTAGCTTCCTGGTCCCAGTTGCCTTCCTTCACCTGAATGTGCAATCCCTCTACACATTCATCCTCCTTCAGGATGGCATGAAAGATTTTCTGCGTCTTGCCACACTTGTCCATCTGACTGAGCTTGTTCTCATGTTGAACAATTTCTCACTGAACTCATTTTACTTTCTCCAAGTAAAAAAAGTGTGACTATGAGTATCTATTTGGGCCCCAGTTATGCCAGTCACTTTGTGGGGTATGTGGAACTGGATGCCCATCCACAGCTCTTTCTCTGATACACAGATGATGTCTTTCTGCTCTCGTTCAGAATTAGAAAAATTCAGCAGTTTTGTCCTTCACTAGTCTATCTCTGACTCTTGACATCCCTGATCCATTTCTGAGGATTCTATCCATTAATATTCATTACAAATCCTTCAATTCCCACAGCTACCTTGATTACACTTCTTCACATGCTGCTTCCATTAAGGACTCCATTTCTTTCTCCCAGTTTCCTCATTTTCTGTCACATCTGTCCTGGACATGCTATTTTCCACAATGGTACTTTCAACTTAGGATCTCATCAACTCAGGATTCCCACTCTGTTGATGACAAGGCCTTCAGCCATATCCAACCCATTTCCCACAGTTCTTCCTTCAATCTTCCCCTCCCTCCCACAACAATAATGGGGTTCTCCTAGTCCTCATTTTCTGCACTAGTAACCTTTGCAATCAAATGATCATCCTTGGTCATCTCCAGTAGGATGCTACAACCAAACTCTTTCTCTCGCCACCTGTGTCAACATTCTGCATGGACTATTCCCTCCCTGAAACCTCGATCCACTCCGCCGTCACTCCCAAAACCTCTTCATATTTGCCCCTCAAACTGCTTCTTCCTCACCGTGGAAGGTTCAAACACACCTTGTATGTGAAACAGTGATTACTGTGCTTTTTTTCATTGAAGTGTGCTGGATTTGCTGCTAACAACATGGTCCTCTCCACACTGATGACAATAAATGCAAACTGTGTGACCTTCTTGCAGAAAACCTCCCCTCTGCCAAAAGAATGTCTCCAACCTTATGGTTGTTTGCCATTTCAATATACCACCCAGCTCTCTTGCTAACATTTCTGTCCTTAGCCTCCTGTAATGCTCCAGTGAAGTTCAATGCACAATGGAGGATCACCACTTGGCACTTTTCAGCATTCAAATCTGAGTTCAACAATTTCAAACCATGATTTCTGTCCTCCTTTTTTGTTCCACCCCCGCCTCATGTCTTGCCTACATGGGTTGCTATCTGCAGAGCTGACCATTTTTTCTTCTTTTTAATTCCTTTTACAGAGGCCAGTATCCCATCACCAAGTCTCCCTTTATTTACACATGCACAGTAGTGTATTCTGACCAGCTAGCTCGTAGCCAGTCCCCTGACCTACTTTCTTGAATTAACTCCTGCAGTTAACACCTACTATTCATCTATTTAATTTCTCTACTACCATTAGCAATCCCCTTGCCATCTATTCTAATAGCTCCTCCTCCCTTATTCCAACAGCATAATAGACATCACTCTTCCAGCCCTCTCCATTCTAAAGAAGAGTCATATTCAAGTCAAAGCATGTTCTCTGTTTCTATCTCTACAGATGCTATCAGACTTGCTGAATTTCACCAGCACTTTGTTTTCATTTCACATGTCAAGCATCATTTATATTAAATTATATCAGTGTTGCTTTTATTAGAGTCCCTGATGCTGCAAAACTAAGGGATAACTTTGACTACGTACAGCTACTGATCTAATTAATCATCATCCAACTTAATGACATAAAAGCATCAGGGGGCTAAATGGCCTACTTTTGTTCTTAGTGTTCTTGTATTCCTAGTGGGGAGTTTCACCTGCCAGCCACAAATATCGCAACGTTGGCTGACAATTTTCAGACTACTAAAATTAATGCTGTTAGCATTTTAACAATTTCTGATTCAAGCTTCTAGTGAGTATCATTCCCATTGGAAAGCCAGATTCATAAATAGTTTTCTAATTGCCACCTCATCATGTGAAATCATAGCTATTTTATGATTTCCTGTTTTCACTTCAAATTGACAGTATTTTACTTCAGTACTGATTTTTTTTTAAAAACACTACACTCACCCACTGCCTGAGCCTCTATAGGTCCAGTTCAAGTCCTTTAAAATGTTTTAGATTCAAGATCCTTCTAAGAGCTGGTCTGGATCTGGAATACATCATATTTTGCAAATAGCTTGGGACAAACAGTGGAGTGAGGTCTTCCTGGCCACTGCCAGTATGATCTAAATCCTTTTGTGTTTCATTGCATTCACTCTCTCCTTTGGAACGAGATCGTATTCAAACAAAGTCACGAAGGGATTAATCGCTTCCTTAAATAACTGATCAACTCTGTGACAGTCACAACTCTCATTATCTTTTCCATGGATCTTCAGTGGAAAACCACCATTTTCAGGAAGGGAATTTAGTGATGATTACTTAAGCTCACAGACACGTAGAAAATATGAAGAAAATATGAAGAAAACAGTGCAGAACACGCTGTGTGAGCAAAATAAGTTGATGGAAGAGATGACACAAAGATAAGCAGGAATTAAGTTGTGAAGAGGACATAAGAAGGCGACAAAGGAATATAAAAGTCCAAAAGAACAGCGGATGCTGTAAATCACAGACAAAAATAGAAATTGCTAAAAAAGCTCAGGAGGTGTGGCAGCATCTGAAAGAAATCAGAGTTAACGTTTCTCGTCGAGTCACCTTTCTTCAGAGGACGTTCTGAGGAAGGGTCACTCAACTCAAAACGTTAACTTTGATTTCTCTCCACAGATGCTGCCAGACCCACTGAGCTTTTCCAGCAATTTTTATTTTTGTCTACAATGGGATATAGAATGAGTGGGCAAAAAGTTGGCAAATAAAATAAAATGTAAAAAAAAAGTGTCATTGCCCATTTCGGCAGGAAGAATGAAAAAGAAGCATAGTATCTAAACGCTGAGAGATTGAGAGCTTTGAAATGCAAGGACAATCTGAGTGCCTTTGTGTATGAATCACAAAACGTTATACTGCAGATACAACAATAAGAAGGAAAACTAATAGAATGTTATCATTTAATGTGAGAAGAATTGAATACAAAAGTAGGGAATTATGCTTCAATTATACAGGGCACTGGTGAAACCACATTGGGAGTACTGTGCACAGTATTGGTCATCTTATTTAAGGAAGGGTATAAATACACTGGAAGCAGTTCAGAGAAGGTTTACCAAACAAACATCTGGAATGAGTAGGTTTGTCTTCTGAGCGAAGGGTGGAAAGGATAGGCATTTATGCAATGGAGTTCAGAGGAATTAGATGTGACCTAATCTAAACGTACAAGATCTTGAAAGGTTTAACAGGATAGATGTAGAGAGATAGTAGGAATGTAGAGAGGATGTTCTCTCTAATTGGAGAATTTAGAACTAGGTGTCACTAAT